GGTCACTTTTACTGCCTTTTTTGAAGACAGGAGACACGTTGGCTGTAGTCCAGTCATCTGGGAGGTCACCAGATTTTAAGGATTGGTTAAACAGCCCTGCTAGTAGTGGTGCCAACTCCACGCTGCATTCCTTAAGGATTTTATTAGGAATGTTATCTGGTCCCGAGGCCTTGGAGGGGTTCAGATCACGAAGAAGTTTCTCGATACCCTCAGCCACGATCTCAAGTGATTCAATGTCTGGAACAGACTGCTGTAGGTTAGGGAGGTTGGATGTGTTTTCCTTGGTGAAAACTGATTTGAAGAAGGAGTTGAGAATGTTTGCCTTCCCAACTTGGTCTGAAACGGTGTCAGTGCCATTCTTCAGCGGATGGACGCCTACATTGTCAGTTCGCTTTGATTTGACATATTTCCAGAACTTTTTTGGGTTATGTTGGAGATCTTCCTCAAGCATACTGGAGATATATTGCTGGTGAGCTCTGTTGAGGTTTCTTTTATACATTTTCCGGGCGCTTCTGAACAGTTTGGAGTCCTCAGCAGAGTTAGTTTTCTTCTGTTTATTATACATACGTTGAAGCTTTCTGCTTTGACGACGGAGCGCAGGAGAAAACCATGGCAAGTTAAATCTCGTTGAGGAGTACTTGGATGGGATGAACTTTTCAGTAAGTGCGTTGAGGGTGTCCCTCAGAAGAATCCAATTTTCATTAACTGTCCTTAGATTCAATTCATGGAGAAAATTTTCACCAAAGTTCTTCAAATCATTACGGAGGTCTTCAAACTTCCCTTTTTTGTACAGGAAGAATTTGCGACGAACTGGTTTGGTAGTTACACCTCCAGCGTTAATCAGAATTTTCACCATGCTGTGATCTCCACAACCAAGAAGCACCCTGGTGGATTCAACGATGGTGGGGTTGTTTGTCATAAACAAGTCAAGAATACTTTCCATCCGGGTGGGCTCAAGGACAAATTGGTCTAAGTTGAAGGAGTTACAGATGTCAACTAACTTCCTGCACTGAGCAGAAAACTGGGCGCCAACCTTAACCAACCTATCATCCCAATTGATGTCTTTCAAGTTGAAATCTCCTCCCAGCCAAATTTCACCTTTTCCTTTGGTTAATTGATGGAGCTTTGAGAGAGATGTATCAAGTCTATCAATCGGTTCATGAGAGGAGTCTGGGTTGTAGAAAGCCCCCACGTACACCTTCTTCTTAGGTCCACATTCAACGCGAACCCAGATACATTCAGCGTCAGGATTTAATTCATCCACTAGATGACAGGAGAGGTTTTTGACAGCTATCAAGACACCCCCGTAGCCATCATTACGATCTTTTCTAAAGACAGCGTACTCTGGTGGGAAAAGCTCAGCATCAAGGATCTTTTCATTTAACCAAGTTTCTGTGCCAATAAGAATGTCCGGCGTATGTTCATGTAGGATACCCAAAAGTTCCGAAGCCTTATTTTTCAGACTTTGAAAGTTGATGTTGATGACAGTAAGCTTCTTCGCTCTGGTGGGTTTCTTAGACTTTGTTTTTGCTGTGTCACGTATGGGAGGATTTCTCTTCCTGGTTTTACAAGGCGGTTTGGGGGATGATGCAGCAAGGGGTTGTACATCACTCAAAGACTGGTCTGAGTCAAGTGGAGTAAAGGGATTTTCAGTTTCAAAATCAGTCACGATACTAAATAGCGAACCAGAAAAATTTGGATGACCACACCCATCACAAATCCATGAGGTACTACAATTAGCCAACAAGTTGTAAGTTTTACTACTCATGTTGATGCAAGCGGCATGATTCCATTTTTCACACTCTTCACATTGGATACCCTTCTCTGGATAATAGCCTACTTCCTCTCCACAGACACCACACGGTGCAGGGGGGTCATCAAGCGAAGAGTTGGATGGAGGGCCTGGGTTTAGGTTGACATCATTTCCAAGTCCGATCAACAAAACATGGGTCCAGGATAGGCCATGAGAGTTTTTCAGAGTTTTGATAAATTGTCTACGAGGCAGTAACGCAGTTGCAAAATAACTGGTGCTTGTTGTGCCAATATCGGGATCACATTCTGTCAGCCTTGTGTCTACGGTTGTACTTACAGTTTTGCAGATCCCATCACTAATACGTGCGAGAGTAAGCAGGAATCCAATCACAAAATAAGTAATGGTGAACTCCATGGTGGTTTAATCCAAGTCAAAAGCTGCAGAAGCGGTAGTAGGAAGTCCAAGTACAAACTTCGATGTCGGTCTATAAATTGCACAGTGTTTTTTTAAAATGGCCGACTTCAAGATTCACTGTTTACACAGTTGACTAAAAATGACGAGATTTGACGAAAATTCACACGAACGACGAACAATAAACCAATAAGCAGATCCTTAAAAACATCAAAAGCGATAAAAATGGGTTAAAAGACCTGGATGGCCAAAGGAAACGCGAAAAATCAAGGATTAAAAAGCTAAAAATCTCCCGCGAAATAAAAGTCGTCTAGCTCCGACACAGCGCCCTCTATCTCAACGGTGGTAGGTACATGTGCATCCCCCATGGACCTCCCCTTGCAATACAGAGTCTCTATAGCTCATTACATTGCTCAGAATCAGCCCAGTTTGGAAAAACGAGATGTATTTTGCCTTCTGTTTTAAAATCAGTGGAGCTCAGTCATGAATCCATAACTGAGGGGTGCAATGGCACTATGGCAGGCTTATAAACCATCCTTTCAGTTGCCACACTGACAGTGTCATGTGCTCAAATTCACACATGTACCGGTAATTTAAACATACATGTTTTTGGATTACTTTTTTATGTAATACCCTGTGCATGTTCATATATGACACAAGGTCGGGTATCCAGTCTAACTTTCTGGGGGCGTACATTTTAAGGGCTTATTAGCCCATGGCGTTGACTAGTGTGCTCCGCAATAATGACTGTCATATGAAATGTCAGTCATCATGGGAACTATCTTTCTAAAACTGAAGCATCCAAAACAGACTGTAAACACACCACCTGGGTATTCAATTCTGGGTCAAAGTGAATGGGGAAATAGTATAGTAGCATTGATTCAAATAAGAAGCTGCACATCAAGTAAAAAAGAACTTTACTGATGCCAGGTCCGGACCACTTGCCACCATGAGACAAACATTCCCCACTGGTAGTAGTACAGCTTTATCTATATTACATGTGAGATTTGAAGGTTTGTATGGTGGAAAGATACTAAGACAAGATAAGTTTGCGGTAGCACCATGTGAATAAATCTCTTTTGTGAGTATGTGTGGTTCTGAAAAGAACCGGAGGGACTCAACGTTTCGAACAGAATGCTCTGCCCGTCGTCAGGAGAACGACGGGCAGAGCTTGACGACGGGCAGAGCATACTGTTCGAAACGTTGAGTCCCTCCGCCGGTTCTTTTCAGAACCACACATACTCACAAAAGAGATTTATTCACATGGTGCTACCACAAACTTATCTTGTCTTAGTATATTACATGTACCGTACATAGGTGGGATTGTCCCAAATTAGCTGTACATGTGTACATGTAGACAGACTGTGGATTGAAGTAAATGTGTAGGTTGCATATATTCGGATCCCAGAGTACCTGAATAATATCTTTATGAATACCCCTGCTTAGGCAAGCAATATGATTTATCAAATCAACTTTTTTTTTAAAAGACAGGCCTTCAAAAGGACTTTTTTTAATATTATTAACTTTTAAACTGAGGTGGTATCGCTGGTGATGTTTGAAGACAATTGTGACGACGATTCTTGAAATTGCATTTTTGGACGAGAGAGCTTTTAGGGTCATTGCGTTTAAATGGTGAATATACTTTGAACGGATTGAGCAATTTCAGTCATTTTTTCATCTAAAAGTAGTCTATGAAATTGGCTTACCAGTTGTTATTTTTTTTGTTTTTGGTGCTAATGATTTTTTTAAATATGAACTATATTTTTGGGGGTTTGGGTTCCTCTTTTGTTTGTCTCAGCCTGTACAATGTACCGGTACATGTATCTCCAGCCTGGCCAAAATTTAAAACACTAATGATGGCCAAAATTCATCATTTAAGACTAATGAGGATTAGGACCACCTCATTCAGAAAAAAAAAACTTGTATCTGAAGGTGTTCTGACAATTGAAAACTAAAGATGTTAGAAGCACTCCAGCAATTAGGAGTGCCCCTTGCTGAGAAATATTTTAAATTGGAAAAGAAACCATTGAAATACAAATGTCATCCACCTGTAACAGAATACATACATGTACATGTACGGTACCTAACATTTTGACACACAATTTATATCATTTGACAGCAATTTTCAAGTATTTGGCAAAACAAGTTGTACGTAATGTACGTAAATGTACACCGTACATGTACACATCTTCTTTAGGGTACCGGAAGTGGGAGGCATCATCATGACCCTGGAGGCCTTGGGTTACCCCATAGTTTTCTGTTTGTTGGAAAAAAATCCTGTTCTCGTCAGCATAATCCTTTTCTTGCTGGTTAAATTTGTCAACTTTTCAAAATTTGAAGAGAGGCATTAGTGTCAGATAGCATCCAGACTGCAGACCCATCCATACTGAAGAGTACCCATGGGTCAAATAATGTCACCTCCGCCCCAATCCACTTTTTGATTCGGCAGCTGGGTAACTTTGAGGAAAAAAAACATTCATGAGTATGTTCCTGTGAGAATTGGTCAGTCCGCAATTTTGTAATCACAACCTATCCCACCCAGGTTTGTCCATCAACCCAGTTAGTTGTAGGGTACAATGTATGTAGTTTGAAGCACATGTAAAAGGCAAGTGTATTTTGGGGGCCTTTTGGTAACTGCACCTACTTGTTCCCCCTTCCAACCCCAAGTCATGGTGGATTAATCAAAGTCCCTTGGAATTCTCTCAGAAGCTATACACACTGCTGTCTGTGCCCACATACAGTACTTGTCTTCCTGAGCTCCATGCATTTATGAACTACGCAATTCTTGTCCTAGCTATATGTACATGTACATATGTATTTTCTGTTGCTTTTGCAGACTGTGAACATCTTGGAGCAGAGACTGACGATGACAGAGAACAAGTTACGGGAGGTGCTTGACAACCAGCAGAAGATCACCTTGCAAGTCAGGCCCACGGAATAAACAACCTGGTATTCCTAGAACCATGTTGTAATATACAAATATAACATTGTTTGAGGGGTAGTAGTGTACAAAATTACTGGAGGGTTGGTTAAATGACGACACAAAGCTGAGGGAAGGAGGCAAAATCACTGAGGGACCATTCACTTGAGGGACGCATTGGAAAATTGACCAATGAAAGAGTGCATTTAGCTCATTTATGGGTGCGTTCGATTAGCTTACATGTGTAAGTAATACTTACACGACAGCGTTCGATTAGCCATCACTTGATCCTCGTGTCTGTCCTGGTGTCAACTCCAGCTCGTAAGCGGGTCTCTGGTGGCTGCCCGGGTTGTGACGCCAGTGGACGATTTCGTTGATAGGAAGATTAAAGATGTTGGGAATTTGAAAACAAAGTGAAAACATTCAATGGAGAGATTTATGACACAAATATTGCCTATTATTAACAGTGTTCAATTGGATGGACATCTTTTTGATAATTCATAGCATATCCTGCCATTTCAGAAATTGTTGATCTGTTTACAGTGATAAAACTAATTTACAAGTGAAGCAGACGACAGTATGCCTTGGGTGTTTTCATTTTAAAGTCCCGCCCCAAAATAATCTTTGACCTTAATTTTCCCAGAGTGTTTAGGCAAATACACTGCAGCGTTCGACAAGCCTCATTTCGTGGCTTCCCCGGGTGTAACCTGGTGTCCAAATGGGGAAGCTAAATCGAACACACCCAATACAAATGAGGTGTAATAACTCTCAAACTCATTCTTATCAGCACTTTGTTCTTATTAAGAACTTGCTTCGTGTATAGGCCATTCTCTAACATGTAGGGTCCAACCAAAGTGTGACATTTTTTCCTTTCCCTGTTACCTTGGTAGTTTGTAATTAGCCATTCAAGTATCATTAAGAACGACTTCAAATGATTTTTCTTATTTGTTGCGTTGGTAGTTTGCTATTCATAATCACTCTTGGAGGAACGACTGCATGAAGGAGTGCATCAGAAAGTTGAAATCTTATGTCAGATGTAACAGGGACAGGAGAAAAAAAAGTGGACCCCAAATTTATAGAATGGACCCGTTTGTTCTCATGTGTATGACTAGACCCTCTGTGTTAACAACGCAATCCATATTCCTCCATGCTTATATTGAAGAACACTTTAGCACCCAGTCTCATAGGTACTTCACATGCATACCAATGGTATTGGTATGTGCACATTCAGTTGAAAGTTGTTCCTACGCTCCCTGCTCCTTCAGGTACAAGCAACATATCCCTCGCAGTCTCTCATATGAGTAGGCCACACAGCATCATCTACAAGTACAGTTTCTGAATAGAGTCTGTGCTTATTCAACTGAATTAAATTACATTCCAACTTCCAAGTATTGAAGTACATGTACACATCAATGTACTTGCACGTGTGTCTGTACTCATATTCATCCAACCATACCGAATGACAACATCTGTGTATATAATAAGATAATTATGTACAGTTTTGTAGTATTGTTTGTATATAAATTTTGACTTATCTTATCCTGCAGTTTTGTTTCCTCTTATACTTCATGAGTCTAAATGACAAGATGTTGTAATGTATTGATTTGCATGGCAGTGAAGTGTTACAGTGCTCAGACCGCACTTTCGATTTAATTGTTTATTTACAATAGGCTTTTACCAATTGTCTTTGGCTTTAGTATACATTTCCAGTTAGATTCCCAAAACATAAATTCTGTTTATACTTTATTATCTGCAGTGGTGTGAAATCTCAGCTTTAAAGCTGATTTCAGCTTTTTTTTGTTTTGGATTTCAGTTGTTTTTTTTCCCCTCACTTGCTGTGTACAAAAGTATAGGAGATTTCCAAAGTTCAGCTTTTTAACACCTTTTTCAGCTGTTTTCTGCTATTTTTATCAGTGGTCACTCACACCCCTGTATCTGCATAGAGCCATACAATTTTTTTTATTTTTTTTTTTTTGGGGGGGGGGGATTTCCTGTGCTATTTTCATTTTAAGTATGCGGTTTTTGCTTCATCTTGGGATTTTGATTAACATCATAAAGTCACTTGAGATGATAGACTTCTCACAGTACTTTGATTTTTTTTGTGTGTTCGGTAGGGCATGGAAGTATCAAAAACATTCTTTCGTACTCAAAATGTTTATCACATTTGAAACATGCAGCTAAATGAAATGAAAATATTTTAAGAGCAGCGTTGGTGAGTTTGTGTGTTCTGCCTTGCCCCCACTTTTTTTCCCAAAATTCAACACTAAATTCTCAAAACAATATAACTTACCAGTGAATGATTATGCGCATTGAATATGCCACTTCATGCCATTTGAAACGGCCAGGGACCACTTCCCGGAAAGTTCTCCAGAACCTTCAAACAGTGAGCAACAATAACAAAAAATCATTTACTTTAGTGCTGTTGTGGGTTTTCTCTGACGTGTCAAACTTAATCTTCTTGATCCCAACTAGTGAAAACTTACATGTAGCTCTTGACTGTGTGTAATGTTTGTGTTACTAAATCATTTACACAGGGGTTCTTTTCACATCAAATACTGTAACTTTATCCTCCAAAAAGAAGACTCTTGCTCTCGTCTGCGTCAGCCTTTGAAAAAAAAACAAGGCATTGCCCTCCACATCCAGACAAAATCTCTATGAAAATATCATAGTAAAAAAAACATGAGTTATTCGGCATCTCACCTTACGAAAAAAAAAAATCTAAAAAAAAAAAAAAAAAAACACCCGTCGATTCACAAGGACTGGGGAAAATTGTAATAAACAGGATATGATGTCACTAAGATGAGTGATCCTTAAGACTGGATTACCCTCTTGTTTCACCACTCCCCTCCTGCATGTTTTTTTTCACCGATTCCTGTGTTATTTTCCCACTTGCACAAGACAATGACCAGCAGGGTAAGATTATAGCCATCCTGGGTATCGATAAAAATCAACCAGTTTAGAGACTTTGTTGAGAGGAGGACAAGACTGTCGCGAAATATGATCGTCGTTGGAACAGAGTATCGGGACTTGATCTGAAAGGTCTTCCATAGCAGTTGATGTCATTGATATTGGTGTTTGTGCGCAAGTCATTTTGAGTATATGGGTCAGATACAATCCCTTTTAAAGCTACACCGTTCAAAGAGAGAAAAACAGCCCTCGTAGTTAATAACAAGCCTATTTGCCAGCTTGGATACCAGTGTCTTATTTTCTTCTTCTTTTTTCAAGTACTACACTTGTATAGGTCACACTTGTTAGTTTGAAATTGATAACTGCAACTGTTAGTGCAGATGGGATCGGGACTTCAGCAAAGTATCGAACGAAACGACAACATTTAATCTTTGGAAGCAAAATTCAGGCATGCAACTGGGACGTTACCAAAAAAAGAGGAAATTCCAAAATGAAATCAGCTGATCCCAGGAAAATGTGCATTCTCGAAAACTTGGTGTATTTTTGTTCATTCAATTTCCTTTGAAATTCTAACGGATGTAATCTTTTGTGTCTGAAAGTCTAACACGTTGAATACGTTATGTAAAGGCATACATAATTTTTAGTTGCAAAAAGATTCAATCACGTTTATTTGTACATAAATAGCACACAAACATGTACAAGTATATAATAGTGAAATATTAATGCTTCATTAACAGTTGTGTTCATCACTTCATGTAATTACTAGCAATATTCACTGTATGAATGATTGCTTGGACACTACACCTTATTATTAAAAAGGCAAGAAAATGCACGGATTCGAAATCCACGAGCCAACTTGAATTTGGAACTACAGGTAGTAATTCGAACAAATGTATATTTCAGACTTATAAGAAAGCCTCATAATTGATGAAGGGTGTCTCCCCTAACCTCCGCAATCTTTCAATAGTCTTTTGTTTATGTAAATTCCAAGACATGCATGGTCTTTGACCACCCTGCAGTCAGTGTGGAATACCTCAGGGATTACTGTTCTCATATTAATGTTTAGCTGGCGCAGCAGAACACCTGCACAACCATGGCACAACACAATAACGAGCTGACTGCGGTTCAGAAAGTTCACATTCAGAAATGCACTGCTTACCAAATTTGCCGAGTTCAGACTGTTGTGAGAATCATGTGCTATTGGGCGTGCCCAATGTTTGCTCTTAATTGATGAGGCGACAATGATTGGTCGACTATTAAAGGTGCTGTTGTGGATGAGTGTCTGCCTCATTGCCTGAACAGAAATGAATTAAGTATACCACAGTAGTTTACAGGTAGTTTCAAGCATGGAGGAATAAGTTCTTATTCCTCCATGTTTCAAGCAATCTTTTATTTATTTTATTTATTGTAATCTTTAACGAGGGTAGTCCATTTCAGTTTTAAAAAACTGCTTTCCAAAGGAGCCCTTGCATTAAAATTACATGAAAACAGAATGAAACAAAGAAAATAGAATTACAAAAATAGACGAGACTTTACAACAAAAACTTTACACAAAACATACAAATCTGCAAGTGCAAATCTAGTATGCCGGCATGAGTAACTCATAGCAGTTCTGTGTTTTGCCGTGGTAAAAATAAATAAAGTGATAAAGTGTAATTTAGTATGGAAAGAGAAACCCATAGAGTAAGACTTAGTTACTCGAAATAGTTCTGAAAACATATCGAGTGCGAAACTTTTTTAGTGACGGTACTTTCCAGTGCATTTAGCAAGCTTGTGGAACCCAAGATGAAAAAATTCTACCCTTAATAAACAAGGTAGCCGGGCTTTGATTGCTTAATATTAAGTCGTCATATCTGGTTTCTCCAATTTCTCTGACAGTATCATCAATAAACGTTATTGTTTTGCTGGAACATACACAAAGCCCAGCTGTGTGCTGTACATAGTAGATTAATGTGGTCACTTTGAAATTGGAAGTGTTTAATAAATAAAATACTTTGTACAGTTACCATGCATTTCAGTCAGGCTATTTTATTTTGTAAAGTTACTTTATTTTTTATTTCCAAATCATTTATTTATACTTTGGGTACATTTATTTTGTAATTTAAAAGAACTCACTACGCGAGAAATTAAGTAACAAGGCCTACTACAAAGTACTATGTTTATACTCTGATTGTATAAATTAATTCAACTCTGTGAGTCAGTCAGTCTTCAAAGTTCAATACTCAAATTTGCATCATGCAAACTTCCCTCTTGCAAAAACCAATGTAAATATACCTCAGCATCACAGAGAGGCCAATTATTGTTTGTATATTGTAAATTTCCATCATCGAAATATTTAGAGGTCACATCATCATACCATGTTCATGCCTTGGTCACACCATAGGTCACACACACGTCACAAAAACTTTCCAGTATTCATTGCTTCAATGACGAAACACAATGACCCAAACAATAACAATATGTCTGTAAGAACCGACCTCGGCTAGGCCCACCATGGGATTACAAACGCAGCGTGTGCAATGTCTGTATGCAATTTGTGGATTGTAAGGGAGAAATCCCCTGAGGCAACTTTTTAATATATATTTGCATCCTGGGCGTGTCAATACGGTGTGACCTTGGCGGGCAATGCAGACCGTTCCATTAAAAGAAAATCGGGGCGTGGGGGTATGAATGGTTGTAACTATACTTTGACATGAATGTAAATGAATGTGCGCTTCGGCCGTGTCCCGATGAGTTTGTTGGTTCTAGGAGGAAAATGCAAAATTATTGTTAAAAGCATTAAGGGGATTATTATTACTTCATTGCGTGGGCATCTTAATGTGAGGTACCCAGGCTACATGTAGCCTACATGCATGTTTAATTTTTTTCCAATGCCTATTATGAAACGCTCGTCTATTCCCAGTTTTCTTAATCCTTTGAACTGTATTTGAAAGAATAAATGAAAAAGAATCTACACAATGATACAACCAATAATGTAGTAACCAACGGATAATGTATCACCAACCGATAATGTTACAACAATTAACCGATACTGTATCACTATCACTAAGGCCAAAAAAAAAGTCTCCGGTTTCTGGTATGGAGCTTGCCCAAAAAGTGGTGCGGCGACGCGGCTTTTTTTTTTTTTACCTGATTTTTTTTGCTTCAAATGTCGGCTAATGACTGCAAATGGTGCCCGACTAAACTTAGTGCAAATATATGGGAGTCCAGAGAGCTTATTCTCGACCATAACCCAATCTAAAAACACGTTTAAATTGTGCAGCAGCAGGATTCCAGTCAAACCAGTGAATTTTTGTTTTTCATTTTGCCGACGCGCATGGCTACGGCGACGCGCGCGCATACCAGAAACCGGAGACTTTTGTTTTGGCCTAACCGGTAATGTAACAAAAAATGACCGATATTCTATTAAAATGTACTACACTATCGGTCAATTGTCACATTACCGATAGTGTAGTAGCATTTCCTACACTATTAGTTAAAATTGTTGTTACATTATCGGTTAGTGATACGATATCGGTTAATTTTTGTGACATTATCGGTTGGTGATACATTATCCGTTGGTTTACTACATTAAGGGCCCATGCAATGTATTTTTTCTTTTTTCAATGCAGTCCTTTCAAATGCACCATTGTTTCCCATTTAACCTTATTTTCAATTTTTTGTATTTTAAATTTTTGTTGGATATTTTGCTGGTAATTAATAGTTGGTGATTCAAAGATGTGTATGCATGGCAGTTTGTAATAAGCCAGTGAACAAACTTTTCTCACAGATGTTTTCAATTCAATGAGCTCAATTGTTGGGTTCACAAGTGGAACAGAAAAACCAATAAACTGAAAAGTGTCTTCCTGACATGACATTACAGCAGCAGTGCCCTCGATTATCTGGAAAAACATGGAAAATTTTAAATGTTTAAAGAAGTGCACTTTTCAAAAAAATTAACCAAAAAGGGATCTACATGTATGTCATATAGTTTTCATACAGTAGAAAGTTGCAGGAAATATATAATTCCTAAAAAAAAATTCATTTCGTGCCCTTCAAGTTTAAAATTGGGTTATTTGTATTTTTCAAAACTATTACAGCATGTTCCATGTGATTACAGCATGGGGCCCAGGCTGAGGCAGGAAGACTGTTTTCGTTTTAGTCATCTCTCAGTTTCCCTCATATTTTAGACGTTCTGCTGAATCTGCTCCCCTTTTCTGCGAATGGAATCTTCCTAAAATATATTCTCGGCGCTGTCCAATGAGCGTTAAATGTATCCTTGGCAACCATTGCGCCCCACATAATACGCGTACGCGATTGGTTAATGGATAAAAGGACCCTTTGCTACTTCCGATCCTTATCAAATTACCTGTCAATCAATCCTGATCGAGTTTACTGAAGATTTCCCCCCGAATAAAGTGCGCCGTTCATGTTGTTATTCGGTGCACGAAATACTACATTGTAGTTGAGGCTGTCGGGCGGTCGTGTGTACGTACGTACTGTACTGAAATGAGTAATGGAAGTGTGCAACTTGCTTAAAAACTAAGATTTTTGTCTCATCTTCTAATTGCCGATTCCATGTGTATTGTGATTGAACACACTATTGTGTATACCATGACAGTAGGCACACATGTATTCCTTATTCACGGTAGAAGTTTGAAGTTGAAATCTCGTGTACTCTAAGTACATGTGTGAACACCGCACATACGAGGTCATCGTGTACTGTAAATACGTCTACGGTGCGACTGTTGGAGGCTTCTCGAGCAACAGCGCCGGTGAACACGCTGACATCTTACCTTAGTGTGTTGACATTGTGTGCGCCGCTCCATAGCATTAACACTGTACATGTGCACCACATGGCCACATGCACAGCAACCTAGCCAAGGTTTTCTTTCCCATTCTTTTCGTACACCCGTGCCGAGCCCACACCGCGCCAACAACCATATTCTAGTTCCCAGTATGCCTGAACAGTCCGACGTCTTCTTTCGGGACATGATGGCACTAGCTACGAGTCCAGAATGCCTCGGAAAACAACTCTTGGAAGGCGGCGAGGTGATGATTTTGGACTACCGTCCTAACTCGTCCTACACCCGCTCGCACGTCGAAGGCGCCTGGAACCTCTCCGTGCCGGGCCTTTTACTGCGTCGTCTCAAGCGCGGTAAGGTGGCGTTCAAATCTCTGATTCATGGCGACGAAGGCAAGGAGGTGTTCGCCAGGAAGTCGCGGTCCGTGCCTGTGGTGCTTTACGATGAAGGTTCGACGGACGTGAACGCCAACTCAGACTCACCCTTCGTTCTACTACTCAAGAAACTGCAGGAAGAAGGGTGTCGTGCCTCGTATTTGAAAGGTAAAGGAAAATTATGTATAATGATCCACGACATGTCATAACATTTTTAATGTGTGTTGCTTTTTACAGTGTTTTAATGCTACTATGGTCATGATGGTAAATACTTAAATATGTTCATCATTTTCAATTTATTTTTCCTTGGCAATGACATGTTATTTTTAGTTTTACAGATATGAAAAAAAAACATTTTCCTGTATCATTTTCTAACACTGGAACATTTATAAACATGTTTCACCCATTCAACGCTGTTCATTATCATGAATCCCTTTTTTTATGCATGACTTGACCATTAGCATTAGTACTAGTAGTACATTATCAGATGTTTGAACTTATTAAAAAATCAATGTTCATGCTCCTAAGTCCTATCCATGATCATGATGATATTCAACATGTTCAACGTTGCTCAAGTCATACTCGTATTCAAACCTTCGAATTGACAATGAATATGATGGTCTGCATCTTAATCTGAATTGTTGTAAAAAAAAATGTGCACTATCCCCATGTAGCATTTACAGGCAGACGTTTCAGGTTCATAAAACCATTTTGTGATGAAGTCTGAAAAAAATGAATACATCACAATAGCCCACAATCACCTGCATGTAATATATTCCTTCCTTCAGCAATAAATGATTTTGAGAAATTGCAATGAAAGCAGGGACTGACACACTGGACTTGCATGGTGGGAATGCGGCCACAACACAAATCAAGTGGCAGAGCTTGTCAGATGGCGAATCAGCTGTCATCCATTTCCTGCCTGGCTGTAATGTGACTCCGGCTCATAAATTCCATTCCAAGCAGGGAAGAGTCTTGGCCTCCCCATGGAGATAGGCCCTCCAAGATTAAAGAGGCAGTTTGGCCACATTTTGTTTTTGCTTCGAGCCACAATGTAGCCACTGACCCAGAACAGATTCGGTCCTATGGCTAATTTTACTATTTTCCTCGTAATTATGGTGATCACTTGTCATGTTTGACAGACTAGGGAATATGAAATGACAATAGCATGTGGAACAGAACATGGTCTTGGATGCTTATTGGTGCTTGACTTGGCCACTATTACTCACACCTTACTGTAAAGAAAATCAGAGGTTCAATTTTACATAAAATTAAAACTGATATTCATTAGTGCATTCAAACAGTACTTGTCTACATTACATACAATGAAATTCCCTTCTCTGGTTGAGAAGTAGCATTTACCCAAGAGACCAAGTACAGTACAACTACTTATGTATTTTATTTGATGAACAACATGTGTATATTTCCCTTTATGTCATGACCCACCAGTGTGTGGGAAATTCTTGCTCGTAACCACAGCAACTCTCACATCTTTAAAATAAGACAAGAAGCAATTTCTAGGCTAGTATTTATGATGAATGAAAACAATTCAAACAAAAATATGTAGCATTTACACACACAAAATAGTCTTAGATATGGTACCATGCACTCTAATTTGCACGCAGTGATAAAGCAAGTTTGTTGTATCTTTAACTGCGTGTTTGCTCAACTTAATTTTCATGCTCTCGTTTCGTGCTGATAACTGACCTGTGACATTTTCTGCAACTTGATTTGTTGTTGCTCGGAAGTCATCCAGAATTACATGCAGCACATGTTGAAATGTTTGGGTCTGGCTGGTTATTTCATCTTCATTTGGGCATTAACAGCAGGAATGTTTTGTTGGAATGAGTATTGAGTTTCAAGCAGTTACATTTTATCAATAGTCAAAACAGTATTCTCTTTCATTTCAATATACTAGCATCCTGTCTTTATTGTGGGTTCAGAGAGCGATACTGCATACCTTCCCCACAATGTATACAAATGTGGATAAATTAATACATTCACATCCTCTTTGGCTGAACTGGTTTAACACATTGTAACAATTTACGTGTCTTGTTGACTTCAGACTAGTAACACCTGGTTTTGCAACTGCTGCACATTAAAATCAACATGTGCTGTTTGCAGAATTGAATTTATCGTGTGTTCTGACCCTAAAAATGACTTATCTGGATTTCTCTGAATGTGAAATCATTTCTACTATTATTTGGGGAAAGTTTCTTCTTTCTGTAGAAAAAAAAATTAAGAAATTTCAAATATAATTAAAACACAGGATTGATTGCTTGAGTTCCCTTTAATGATTCGCACCATGCAAATACATGCATTTCCTGTCACATCACAGCAGGGGGTGACAAACCAAACAGGATTAACCCCACCAGACATGATTCCCAATAAGAAGGTTTGAATTTGTGCTCAGACCCCCTCCATATCATAAGAGGATGATTAGGGCGATAAAGCTGGGGTTGTTTGAAGAGGAACATGTGGGGGAATGAGTAAACAAAAGGCTTGCCCAAACATTATCAATGGAGTCACCCAGTTAATGGAAAGAGGGGTGACTCAAAATGTCAAATTAGAAATGCACACAGATACAGTGTAGTTCGAATCAACTTACTTTATCTTGAGAAAATAGTTTTCTTTGATTTGAAGTGTAACTTTTCAAATTTCACAATTCATCACAAAACGATCATTTCTGCGCACAATGACTTTTATCAAATGTTGCATTGGCTGCTTAACCGTTAACGTTTAACAATAAATTATGCAATCCACAACTTCACAAGCAGATTTGACTTGGCACATGTTGAATTTCAGAGAAACTTTTGATATTCAAAATGTTCTCATTGTTAACGTCAATTGAAAATAAAGGTTTGTTATCAGTAAACTTTGACTTGATTTGCAATAATTAGCCTTCTTTTCTTGACATGTAAATGTACATCATGTTCATGCTTTCATTTTTCAAAGTGAAAGAATCCATGACTGTATTTGATAACCATAGTGATAACACAGCTGACTAAATAGTTCAGATTTATTCATTAGTCAGAGAGTGCTGTTGTTTCTGTAGTCACAATTGCTTTATTGATCCCACGCATTGATACGAACCTTCAGTCACTGATAACAGTTCCATGCCTTGCAAAGGAAAAAAAAAATTGTTTCTTCAACCATCACTCAATTTCAATGGTGGGGTTGTTTTTGCTTAAGTTAAATTGACCAGAGGATTTGATGTGACCCTTCTTTTTGTAAGTAACATGTACCAGGAATGCTGTACATTCTATACAAAATGTATATCTTGAGCAAACATTGTATGGAGGTGCATTATACACATACCTGTGTGTACGTTACATTTACATTTAAAACTGAGTAGAAATGTTCTTTGCCTTAAGATTATGACTGCAATTGGGTACATGTACATGTATATTTGTACACTGAAAGTGTGCACGTACAGTTGCATTGGACAGACGTATGTAATGCACCCCCAACACATGCTTACATACATGTACGGTACATGTACATAGACGTCTGCTACTGTACAGAGTACATGTACACAGATAATGTACATACATGTACAAAAATGTACATGTACATCAGTACATGTACATGTATGTATTTGGATCAAGACAACAAATACATATTTTTAAAAGTAAGTGTGATTTGTTGTACATGTACCGGTATGGTGAAATGAATTTGGCAATTCATTTCATGAGAAATATATTAAAGATTTATATAAAGGAATCGATAGAAGTTACTGTACCGGTAATTTACTCGAACTACTGTACTTGTCTACAGAATCTTGCTCATGTAACATCATAAAACAAAACGAAAATCTGCATCATACTATGGGTAAACACTGGCCCACTCCAAACCGCCTACATGTCCAGGCATGAATTGAAGAGGCGGCAATACAATTAATGGCCGGAACTCTCTGATCAAACTGAGCAAATACAATCTTTGCCCTTGTGGACTTTGGGCTGTCGGTTCTCTTTGCTATCTGATTATTTTGATTATGCTGCTGCTGTTGTCTGCATTTAAATACTGATTCATTTTTTAATTGAGATAATTTGATTTTTTTTTTCTTCAAATTTAATGTTATTGGATGAATTATCAATCAAATTTATCAATTTAAATTGGTGTAATTAGTACCTGTCTTGTGCATACAATCAGGCAATTAATACAATCATACATGTACTTTGTTTCTCAAAAAAAATGTCCAGATATTTGTGTGTGGTAAAGACTGCAATGTAGATTTTTTTAAGAAACTTTTCATTCCCACTTGGGTTAAAATTTAGATTGAGCAAATGGCCAATTAATTGCTGACACAGTGACAGTGACAACAGCAGTTTCCATATTTTCTAGAATGTTGGTCCTTACATTATTTTATCAAGTAGGCCTATCTGTTTTTGTGCTTGTCCAACTTCCTTGTAATGAATTTTTCGTAGAATGTTGGAGCTTTTTTTTATCGACATTTTCTTTTGCAGATTTTTGCCCCCTTAAAAAAAGCTAGCCTTTACAACAAATGGTTTCAATTACATGTAATTGATTAGTCCTATTTGTTACTAAAAGTTACTGACAAATCAACTAAACAATTGATTATTTAAATAACCGATCAACTTATGTGAGCCAAATGTGGTCAAACAAAACAGTGGGCCATCCTCCATGAGTCCTCGCTCCGATCCTCAGCACCCTGCATTGACTTTTGAAGAAATTTAACAGTTGGAATAGCTAATCTTTAAAGTTAACTTGATGATCTTTGACTTCTCATATCCAGGTGGCTTCAACCGATTCAAGGAGCAGTATCCAACTCTGTGTGTGAACCAGCAGGACGACAACAGCGACTCGGACTCGGGCTGCATCAACGACCTGGGTTTTGACAAGCTCAAGATAGACACCTGCCGGGAGACGGACTCGGAAACGCCCTTGGACAACAGATACCCCGTGGAGATCTTGCCCCACCTCTTCCTGGGCTCCAAGCAGGATTCAGAGAACTTGGAGCTCCTGCACAAGCTGGGCATCAAGTGCATCCTGAACGTCACGCCCAACATCCCAAACTGTTTTGAGAGCAACGGCCTCAAGTACATGCAGATCCCCATCCCAGACCACTGGAGTCAGAATCTGGCCAAGTTCTTTCCTGAAGCAATAGAATTTATCGGTGAGAACCAAGTGTTCCTTGTTTGTGTCTGTTGGCTTTAATACTCATTCATTATTTTCTTCTCTCTTTTCTTCGCTCTCTCTTCCCCTTCTGTTTTCTCACTACATTTTTTATTTTAGTTTAATTTGATTTTAGTCTGATGTGTTATATTTTGCTGACATGTTATAATCAAGCTCCTGATGTCATACACAGTTCAGTATCTGCTCAATTTTCAACTTCATTCATGTCACATGAAGTCCTTCCCATCTCAAATTTCAGTAAATTTCCAAAGACATGTGGTAAAAGTGTCAACGTCGTAATTTGCCACGGAGAGTAGTTATTTTGGGCCTCAGACCAGATACAGGCATATCTGTGTGCATGTATTTCCCAGAGATGATGAAGATTCCAGAGACCACAGCATTCCATATGCATGAACAGTGGAACCTCCAAGCGGTTGATAGCATATTGACTTAGCCAACTGACCACTGCCTTATCAAATAAGCCAACTGACAAAGAAGTGAAAGATTTTCTGTTCAGGGAATTCTCTACACTTCAGGCTTGAATCTCTGATGAATTAAAACTGTGAATATTTTTTTTTGGTTCTTGGAATTGAACAAGTTGAAGAATGTAATGCAAATAGAGAGCTTTCGAATCAAGCTGGTATAAACTGAGTCTGGAAATCTTAGACTGTCATTTGAGTGTATTGAAACGATACATGTTCTGAAACAATACAAGAACAATATACATGTAACTCCAGCATGTTCTTCGGGATTGCAAACACATAGTGCATAGTCTCTATTTCCATGAATTTCTGCCACATGTTATTGAATGGTCCAACATACGTGTACCAGTCTAGAACAGTGTTTCAAATTGCAAATTAGGGTTACAGAATAGTCTGTTGTCAACTTTGATTCAGGACCCTTAAACCTTGCCTGGTGAAGCACACTACACTTCTTTCAGATAATTTTTTTGGGCCCAGTTTTGTTCAGTCAGTCTCATACATGTACATGTGCACTGTTTGTTCTGGATTTGCCTGTTAACCAAGCCTGTATTGCAAATGTGCTAGATTTGCCTTGCCTTTTTGGCAGGATTTTGTTCATTATCAAGCCATGCGTTGCTAAATCTTGTGACCTCGGGGGAGAGTTTTGTCCACACAATTTCCACCGGATTTTTACTCCCGATTTGTTCCTGGTCATGTGGGTTTTTGGGTGTATGAATGGAATATTTCTATAAGCTCTAGTTCCAACAATGTACCATTCATCTTTGGTGTGCTGTTTTTTTGTCTGGGTAGGGTGCATTATCCTCAACTTTGAATACACATAAAAGCTGGTGCACACAAAATCTGTATTTTTTTGTACAGATTTGGCCTACACAGAAGTTCTTTTGTGTGGGGAGCAAAATTGAAAAGATGTGGGTGTTTTTGCTCATCAGACTTGCCATACGGTACATTTTACATACAGGTCCAAAGGAAGGATAATGTTGATCTGCCACGTGGCATGATATACAGAGGAAATATTGAAAAAGGCATTCAGAAATGGCCAACAAATGCGTACACACGTGTACGCATTCTTTAACTGTATATTTTAACAAAAATAACGTTCAATGGGGGTTTGAGACACAGTCACGCACAAGTGCTCATGCGTAATAAAAACCTTTTGGGTCTTGTTTAACAACACCCACGCTCCCTTTTTCCAAGTGCTTCCTTCAGAGTTCCAATTGTTCAATGTGTCTGGGCCACTAGCGACTCATCAATTTCTCCATATTTCATGAATAGACAGGAAATCACCCTTTTTTTTTTTCAAACGAAGGAGTGGGCCGGATTCAGGCTGATTGTACTGTTAATGTTTGTACTGTTGCAAGTGTATAGAAGTTTCAAGAATAGGTATTTACTGACAATGGATCCTTCTGCTCCACACGCACTCCAGTACAAAGTTTTGCATGTAAATATACAGTCAACATACATACATGTACCGGTACATGTGTATACATTGGTACATGTACACTGCACAAATACAGGAATGTAAATCTTGTTAAACTATTATTCCATGTAATATTACATTACATGCTGAGATTAAAATTCAAGAAACTAGTAAATTGTAATACATACCTGTACATACAGTGTACTGGTTGGTACAATGTACCAGTAGGGCTATATTTTACTCTTGTTAATCTAAACTTTATATAGTTGAGTTACAACTTTGTCCTGTTTGTTTTTGAGGATGGTAATTGGCAGAACAGAAATATTTTACTTATGACAACTTTCCATCATCCACTGATGTACTTTGAATTTATGAATGAGGATTGGTTGGATGAGGTTTATTCAGCCTATACGTGTGTGATGAACTCTGTACTAACTCAGTTTTATTGTACTACATGTACATTGTAGGTATTTTTCCTCCAATTTAATCTTTGTAATTAACGCAGGCTACAACATCATGTGCGTGTGGGTCACTGTTGTTGGCACTCACTGTCAGTATGAAATATGTTCCATACTATTATTACCCAGTCTTAACAAAATAATCAACTGAAAAACCGTAATATGGTACTTAATAATAGCACTCTTGGGTTTTTTTTGGGGGGGGGATGCTTGTCATTACAAGGACAGTAAATCATATAGTCAGGTTAAGTGGTACACAGTCATATCCTGTCAGATCGTGGGCCATTCATGGCAGTGGACAAGGATATCCGCTGTATCCTTGTTGTCAACCGCAGCCATCCACTCATGCGTCCAATCTGACACACATTTTCAAAAGAAGGGGGAACATTCAAAGAAATTCAAGACCTTGTATTCTTTTCAATAAAAATAAGAAGAGAAGAGAAACCTGAACAAAAGCAGAATACATTGTAACGCACCCATGTATTGTGTGGCCAGTTTTGTATTTGATTAGCAAAATATTATGTTGGAAAATTGTCCTTTATTGTTAAATTTGTGTACTTTTAAGGTGGGGTTGTACATACCGGTATGTAGCTGTGTACTTACAATGTACATTGTATTTACATTGTATCAAATATTTACTCCCATTTCAATGTACCGGTATGTGAACTTTTCAATTTGGCAAAGTTTACTGAAGTACAATGCGTACAGATATATAATTTGTTAATGTCTTTTTTTGTTTTGGCACAGAAACAGTTTTTACAAACAAAGTATGAAAACAAAAATTTTCCTGTTTTTTTCCCGAATGGTTTACATGCATGTGACAATTGATGTGAACGTGCAGGATTACCACAAGTACAAAATATGTGTCAGTTTATCCACTCCTGTAGAAAATGAACAGAATTTATGCCAGACTTCCCCTCTTGAAGTAGAATTCGGAGAAGAAAACACACTATATAGTGTACATGTACATGCCTAAGACTCAGTGTACATGTTAACATGATTCATAATTTAACCATCATCTAAAGTATGTATGTATATTGTATGATTAGTAGCAAACTGATATGTGCGAACAACAAGCCTAGCCATAACTAGCCTGTCTGACTACACACAAGCCAAACCCGCTGTATGCAATGCCAACAGGGATGTTCCCCTCACCGTTATGCGTACATATTTAGAAGCTCACCAATGAGCAAGGGAGGCTTACGTCAGAGCGCGATCCATCAGCAAATTAAACCATCGGCCTCGGCTGTTCGCGACAGGAAATTAAATAAATCCGACCAGCCGAGAAAAATGCTGACATGAAATCGAGTAAAATAAGAATGCACTGTCAATAAAACCAGTTAGGATGAATCTTCGTATCACTTGTGAGCTGTGATGAAATTTGGCCATGATAACAAATGCATTCAGTTACATGTTCATATTACAAGTTGTTTGTTGTACAAAAATACCATAATTTCCAAAGTCTTTCTTTTTTTAATCCTGAGAAAGATTATTGCATTTGAATTGTAAATTTGTATTTTTCTCATGACACTTTTACACATAAGAATACATGTACATGTACATGATGAATGGACTCTAAATGGCATGATTCACACTTGATTTTTTTTTTGTTAAAAACTTGAACAACTGATTTAAATAGAAACTTCTTTAAAAAAAGAAAAGAAAAAAAAGGAATTCCTTACATAGGGGCCTATGTATCCATGTATATAATCACATTATTCCTGTCTTTTGTTGAAACAATTTTTATTGTCCTGTATTTCAATAGTCCTGGAGTGATGAACATAATTATTTACTGTTCTGTTCCTTAATTTGTAATCCCAAGTTCTCGGTATTGGTGAACTTAATCCGCAATTCGCATAATTTTCTGCTCTAATCTGCTCTTGTGCATACATGTATGATAAGCACACATTATATGAACACTATAAAATGTACCAGTGTTATCAAGTCATTGCAGTGAGCATTTTCGTCTCAGAAATATTGTTCAGCAAACGGCTAAGCATTAAGAAAAACACAGCTCCAAATTCTGAAATTTTGTATCCACAGTAGGCCTAAAATTTAACTGTGAATCAAGGAATAGGCCTATACCTCCAAAAAGTCCAAGTTTGTGCCTATGTTTGTTTTTGACTACCAAAAATGTGAATATGAAGTTATTCAACACAACCTCCGGAGTTTGTTTCACACTTAAATTACATCCAAATATAACCACACTGAGATTTTTGCAGAGAGTTCATTGCACACATTAAATACACAATAAATGAATTTAAATACATTTAGTGCAATGCACATGGAGATTGTCATTGAGACCGAGTGTTAAAAGAAGTTTAGGTTTTTTGTTACAAAATACTTCCAGAGGAACTGCTGTATAGACAACCCCCAGCTGCGTTGAACTTTTCTGTTTACATTGAGTCTGAAGGTTTCCAGTTACATTTTCCTGAACTTCGGAAGGAATCCTATATTTGTGATTTCACCACCTGCTTGTTCTGTGACTTTTTTTTAAAAGTGTTGAGTTGGTCCATTCAGAAGATTGAAAATTTTACAAAACTGGTTTTTAAAAGTGTTCTTGGCATTGGATTGGTAAGTCATGCAATATTCTGCAGTACAATGTGGCCAGCTTGAACCGAACTCACACGTGTCATGTACATGTATACATGTGTACACGTTTACGTCACTACTTTTTAAACAATGTATACATGTACATGAACATAATGTACAAATTATGCATACTACCCATTCTGTGCTATCTGCAGTTTCACAGATTTAAGTTTCATAGAAATGTATATTTGCATACAAATTTACTATTACAATGCTTGGTTACACCCAAAGTTTACAGACAATATAATTAAATTAAAAATACGAACTGAAATTGAAAATGTAGAGTTATTTATTCGTACAAGTACATGTTACCCTCTCACTCTTTTGTTGTGAAACGGCCATTAAAAGTACAATTATTTTGAAGGTTATTTACATACATGTAGTTCAGCTTGCACTGTATGCATGTATGTTCACACATGTGCACAAACAGCGTAGGCCTTTGCTGAACGTACAGTACAGTTTGTGTGTGACCTGGTCTGCATGGTTCAAGCAGCCATCTTTCTTTGACTTGAGTGCCTTGTACGTGTGCGTGGGTGTATGAGGGCAGGCATGAACATAATACACTTGGCAAACACATCCAAAGTACACAGCAAGGATCTATTGAATGAATAAAGTTTGCGGGGGTGGCAAGGGGATACCATGTGGAAAGATTACTGGAAGAAATGAATTGATTGAAAGTCTGCATTCTTTATCATGCCAAGAAATCAATATGTACATGTATGTTTTCGGTTTGGATTTGTTTTCAAAATTTCCTTTCTGGTTACGTTTACATGTGTATGTGGGGACAATGTCCTTAAAGCTATCAATGCATTATGAGCATTATTATTAACCCTAACCGCCCTGAATCCTTCAAAGTCCTCTTGCCAAAGTGGAGGAATTTGGCGGATTGAGGTTACATGGCAAAAGTGCTTTACTGATTTCATAGGATGCACTTTGTCAAGGTCTTGGGCCGGAGCTTGTGTTGTTTTGCTCAGCCATGCATAAATATAGGCCTGGATTATGCTTGAAATCCTCCGCACTGCTCCAGGATGTCACTGGCCAAGCCTCAACATATTGACAGTCACTGCTGCAGGATTTTTTGCAGGATTCAGGCAGTGGTCACCCCTCCATGGACCATATTCAAGAAATAAAAAAGGAATTTGCAGGATTGAGGCTATTAATACTATTTTTCCATGAGGCCAATTGAAGGATTTTGCAGGATTGACGCTACACCCTAGCAAAAAGGCTGGGGGTAAGGGTTAATTATCATTCTGTAGGATTTTGTTTTAGGGTTTTGGAGATAATATCCACATCATGACAACAAAAACTTATAGGCCTATGGTTTTGAAAAATGTTTCTGGTGTACAACCCTTGTTGAACCTGGAAAAAGTTTGTAAATGTATCCCCCCTTCAAAAAATACTTTTGTAGGCCTCTGCGTATTTGGGATATTACTTTAGAAAGCAGTGGTACAGAAGCACTAGCAGTCCCACAGGAATGTGTAAATTTAAAAAGTGACCACAACACATCCAGCAATCTTCTTGCTTACGACTAGTCTGTGTTTGCGCACAGTCTGCAAAACATGTTTGTATCCTGCTTCCTCACTTCATGCCCGCTGCCCGCACCACATGATAATGTGCTTGAACAGCAACAACATGATCACAGTATATTCATTACCAGAGAAGATCAATAATGGGGAAGCGGCGAGGGGAAAAAAGAGCAAGATGCGAAGTGGGGCTGAGAGAGGGAGAATGTGCTGCAAGGCCAATCAATAAGGAGACTTCCGCAGTTGACACTGTTTGTCCATTTTTGTTGTTTAGTGTGGGGGCATTCAGTCTTGCACTACATTGATAATATTGTCTGCCTAGGCTAACTGCCCAAAACTCTTTTGTCAGTTCAGCAGAACTTCAGCCAATGGCTATAGAGAAATTCTTAAGAAGGGAGGGCAGGTCGTTATGTAACCCCCTCTTCAAGGTGCTAGCCAACAATAGGTTGTTGTCAGGATGATTCTCACTAACCATGCCCCTATTGTCATCCCTTAATGCAGTCAGGAAGTGGCCTTGATTAAAGTTTTCCTGTCCTATGCCTCATCACAGCATTAGCTTTTGTGATGAAGTCTGAAGTGGAGTCATTATTTTCATTGCTGGATTGACAGACACTTTGGGTTCTTACACAAAGGGTGTGAATTTACTTCAAAGGGCGACATTTTAATAGACAGGAAGCAATACTAAGTTCTACATACTGGTACACGTGTACATGTATGTGACAGTGCATGTGTACAGAATGTGACACCAAAACATGAATTAAAATATGGCACAGTTACAGACACAAATAACATTTTGCTTAGACTCTGGCACCAGTTATCAAAACAGCGTACAAATACAAGACTGCATGAATACATGTTTTGGTAGACCAGACCATTTACTTATGATTTACACAGTGTCTCTTTTGACTGTTCATCCTTTTAGTTTTCATTTGAAATATTGCAAAATATTGTCTGCAAAGGTGATATATCTAGGCAAATTTTGGCAATAGAAAACACATTGTATTGTCCCAAACTTCAGGTACATATATGCCTACTTGTTCTATGTAGATCACCAAGACTTTTTTGTATAATACATGATAAGTTTTGGGAAGATTTGGAATGATCATTCCTTACCTCCATGGAATACATACATGTACATCACACGAAGCCTATCCGTGTATTTCAGAGCCTAAGCTTACACTGTATAATCCTGTTCAAACAACAATCTACCATCCAGTCTCATGTCATGTATTTTTATGTGTAAAATTTGCATTAAGTCAGTTATGGTATGCCACAGATAGCCCTTACATCCTGTTTGCTTGTAAGTCGATTTGATTATAACGCCATGCTCGCAATTCATTTTGTGAATTCCTAATGACGTAGGACCGGACGTCACGTTTCTTTGATGTCAGAACAGAAGCGTGTTCGTCAGTCAACCGCCTTGGCTTAATAGCTGAATCGTTAACTAAAATCCAATCAAAAGTGAATCCAAGGATTTTGTTGTCATTGGCAACCAATCAGCCTGAGAATTAGTGAGATAGCTCGACAGCCAGAATGGCCACAAAAATAATTCGAACTGCCCAGGCTGTTGGATAAGTAAGTTAAAAACAGACCTGGACAAAAGGGCATTGACAGAAAAGTTTTGCAATCATCTGAGCCGAAATTGCTTTTTCTACACTTGATTTTAATATCGGGTTTTGTCCCTCACCCACATATTTTATCAACACCGTATACTCAGTGTTGTCCTGCGTGATTGTGAGAAACAAACCACTCCGGTGGGACTCGAACCCACCACCTCCTGCTTACAATCGGGTTTTGTCCCTCACCCACATATTTTATCAACACCGTATACTCAGTGTTGTCCTGAGTGGTTGTGAGAAACAAACCACTCCGGTGGGACTCGAACCCACCACCTCCTGCTTACAATCACTCGGGGACAACACTGAGTATACAGCATTAATCAAATACGTGGAAAAAATGAAGGGCAAAACCCAATATTGAATATACATCGCCTCAACGCAAATTCCATCTTATGAATAGTACAGTTGATTTGTTTGTGGAAAAGGTTGATCAATTTGGGGTATTTCTTTCTGAACGTGAAAAGAAAATTCTGCAGTCAGTGAGTTTTATCTATTCCAGACATTGTCATTTCACACATGCACCTTTAGTCCCGAATTACAGTTGCAACAAGCTTAACCTAGAAATTGATAAACAGTTTACATGTAAGTGATTAGTAAGAGAGGTTAGTACCGCGGTAGAGGACACTTGCCTTATCAGTATAGAAACATGTAGCTCCAACAGAATTCTTCAGTTCAAGAGAACAATTCTATTAACTTATTATTATGAAATCCATCTATTATTTTTTTTTTTTAAGAAAAAAAAATATATTTGCACGTCACAGGATGTCAACAAGAGTTGGACAGTGCTTTCAGGATTCGTGCTTTAGGGCAGATGCATGTACAGTTCGTGCTACAACACTAATGATCGTCCATCAGTTTGGACTGGAATTCCCCCACTGAGGGTTTTATCCCCTATTCAAGGAGAAAGACACAAAAGTCATTTCAGGAATTTCGCAGACCCGAAGGATGATTTGCCTGACATTTCCTTTGAAAGTATTATTTGCCACATGGCAGAACGTGACACTGTTGTTAAGCAGTGGCCTTTACTTGTTGGACCCTCTTTTAAATAAAAGTCTGGCCATCCTCCTGAGCTTTTATTTTCATGGCCAGAGAGATTAGTGTGCTTATTTGTGCCCATTTATACATGAAGTAGAGGTCACGCAGGGAACAAACATCCAGATTCTTGTCTATAGATAGATGATGATCACCTTTGAAAGATTCCAAGACTGTGCAAAGTTATATAATTTGACACTTATTAATCCCATCACAGGTTAAGTCATTTTATTTCCCCATGAAATTAAAATTTACATGACACTGAGACTGCTGTTTACCATGACAATTAAACTTCACACATTCACTCTTCAAAGCAGCTTGGAAGAAAGAACTGAAAACTTTTAAGGTTATGTGTGAAAACAAAACCCCATGCTCTGAAAAACGGGTTATGAATTTGTAATGTGCTTAAACATAATACTTTTGGAGTAGTTAATCTTTTTTGTGTAAGTTTGTTTACCAGAGCCTTGTGCATTTTTGTTTATGTGGAAGTACCCAGTACATGTAAAAATCGTGCTGTCTTTGAGCCACAACAATATTCATAAAAGTGTTTGATATAATGTCATTTAATTTTTTTTTTTACTTTCTCTTTCTCTCTTGTCCACAAAGACGAAGCTCGCAGGGTCAACGAAGGCATCCTGGTGCACTGTTTAGCTGGTGTCAGCCGCTCTGTCACCGTCACCGTAGCCTACCTCATGCAGAAGCTGTGCATGACGCTGAACGATGCCTATGACTTCGTCAAGAAGCGGAAGAACAACATCTCGCCCAACTTCAACTTCATGGGCCAGCTGCTGGAGTTTGAGCAGCAGCTGAGAGACAGCCCCTGCCGGGGCGGAGACTGCAGCTGTGCCAAGGAGGGGCGGCGGCTGTGCATGAGCCCGGACCCTGTCCTGCAGTCGCTCATCCCCCAGACCGCCCTTTCTTCCTCCTCCTCAACATCCACCTCATCTGCTTCCTCCTGGGAGCAGACGCCGGAAACCTCGTCTAGGAGAATGGAATTCAATTTCACAGTCGACAGCTGAGTATGAGCTCAGTAGAGATTCAGGAGGACACCGGTTCTTTACAGTAACTTCACAAACAGATGGAGGAATCAGGGAAGAGTTTCCCAACTAACTGCACTGTAAGTGATGGGAAACGTACCTCTCGGACAGAGAAGACAAGTTTTGAAATGTTTGAACCCATTTTCCTGATCATCGTAATGTATGATGTTTGACAGTGCACTCACCTGACAAGAGGAGGAAGCAGCACATTGATGAGTCTGATGTATTTCATAAGAGAGGAAGTTCAAAATGAGGAAGGAAATGTTATAAACACCAAGAGCCGTTGAGAACGGAAATTAAGGCTTGTGTTGGTTTCTGTTTCGTCGGTCATATTTACTCAGAATTTGCATTATAAGACATGACTAGTTAGTTGCATACGTGTACATAGGTACGTAAGGTCAGTTTACGTGCACACATATAATTCAGGTACATGTTTTATAAAGAACTGCAGATGCGACAGCGACACATTCTTGTTAAGCTTGGATATAAACGCTTGTCCTTTATCAGTGTCATATTATTTGAGAATTAAGGGTGTGGCTTTTATGTTCATTCACGTACATTGTACGTAGCATGTTTATCAGGGATGATGGGGTTGGACTCCCACATGTACATATTGTACACGTGCATGCCATAACCAAGAAGCCATGTTGGCGTGTTGAAGTTTGGTAAGTTGGCTCCATGCCAAAATAGGCTATTGTGATAACCCTGGCTCTTGCACAATAGGAAGTATTTATACATTTGATACACAGCAGATAGCAAAGCCCATTTCCCCTGTAATGAAAAACAAATCTCTATATACAGGATTGTCTTTTGTAGTCCACAACTTTGTAATTGCAGTGCTTGTACCCAACACTTTTTGTGTGTGTACTGTTTGCCTTTACATTATGAATTACTCACACAAACATTTATAATTCTTACACTACAACACTGAAACAAAAGGCAGAAGTGAAGGTTAACTTTGACACAAATTATTTGTTGTACAGTTGTGTATATATTTATATTCTATACCCAGTGTACAGTTAAAGGAGTACATTAATTAAGTGATTTTTGTATATAAAAACTGTAAATAGTATGTAAAGAAAACATAGAAGGTGCAGAATTGTACAGACTGTCCCTTTTGACATACATGTAATTATTCCAATGATATTAACTGCTCAGATTTTTCGGTTTGTTTGACTAGACTGACTTGTTTTGAATTCAGTTTGAATGGATATTAATCTTTTTTAGACAAATCATCACTCATGTGTGAAATGGAAATTTTGTAAAGAGGGGGTGTTATTTTTAAGAATTGAGATTCATGAAACCATTTTTCAGACCTGAAGTGCAATGTGCATTCATGCAGCGCACTGGTACATGATTCCACATTGCTTACATGTCAGATGTAGCCAAAGTCATGCAAGGATATACAATGTATTCGTTTCCTACCTACATGTCCGTTCACGTTCACGGTAGATAAGGTTCGAGAGTTCACATGTCGTATGTTTTGTCCTGCACAGAGCCAGTGTACATTTCTGTCGGAAGAAGTACTTCCTGATAAAAAAAGGAACATTTTGTGCTGAACAAAACAAATCAGCCTTAATCGATTTCATGTGTACATGAAAAAGATGAAAAACATTCATGTGAGCTTTTTGAAAACTACCGGGTATCTGTCACTAAATTCAATGTACATGTATAGAAAACGTTTTTTTGGGCGACGATTCAGGATCTCCAATGAACAAATTACCTCAAGCTTTTGTCTAATTTTACGTAAGATTCTTAGGTTTTGACAGTGTAAAAACAACTCAGTTATATAAAGTTTATTTCGTGTGCGGACATTTTGAAAATGAAAATCTTGTTCATTGTTTTGCTATTACAGGCTGAATTAACAAATCTCTAAAGTAGTTCTTCAAAAGATAAAGAAGAGAAAAAGATGTCAAGTACTTAAATAGTTTTTGAGATTCGGAGATCTGAACACAGATCATGAAGTGTGTGTTTTGTAACTCTTATTCACATGTATAAAGTATACCCTGAAGTATCATACCTCCCCTCCCATTTGGGTTTTTATACATTCTGAAAATGTAGCTGAGGTACATGTAGGCATGATGTCAGAGAATTAAGGTTCACATCATAAACATAAATATTAAACATATTCAATAAGTGTCAGCCATTTGAGCAAAAGGGCTGTTATACAGTTCCTGCCTGATGTGGTACATGTACATGATTTTGAAATAATATCCATTTCCATTTCATGGATATTTTACTGTGTTGATCTCAAGTGTTCTACACATTCCCTGTACTTAAGAGATGAACCCACAATCTGCAATGGTGATATGTGAAGGTTTAAATAGTAACTTACCTCAAACTAAGGTCCTTAACATAGTCGAGCCTCCTTGCTCTATGGTCTAAAGGACAAACAAGACAATAGCATAAAAAGTTAAGTTTATTTCTAATGTAGTATAGACCTGACCTGTGGAGAGCTAACACTGCATTTTTATGTTGAGCATCGAAAATTTTGTAGAACAGATTATAAAATTTCTCTTTGTGTGAGACCAAACTTGCCCCATTTGATAGGCACTTTAATCCATCGCTATGCATCATGATTCATTGGTTGCTACTTGCTAGGCATTCAGACAAGCATTATGAAATATGAAAGGTTTTTTTTTACGAGAATATGAAGACATTATTTATAAATGTTTATTATTTTGTTTGCTTATGTTTTCCTGGGTTTTTTTTTGGGGGGGGGTAATTTTAAGTGTTTTTGTTTATTTATTTTTTACAAATTTATGGATACAATCCTCCTAGTCCAGTAAAGAAATGGCTTTTAAACACAAAATGCAAAAACAGCCTGGAAATGATTTGCTTTGTGTAGACATACAGCAAAGTTTACATTGAAGATTGGTGTTTTGCATTTCTTTATTCCAGTGGCTGGTATTCAGGAGAGCAATTGTTATCAGTGTAAGTACCACAATGATCATAATGTAGTCATCACACCGAGAGAAGTCTGTTGATTCTTCATTCATCCTACAAAAAAAATATGTGTGAATATGATTTATATTTTTATATTTCTCATATCCTCAATTTTATCACAATATGAATATTCACAGGGGATGTTTACTTTAAAGATGTGATGGGTTTGGATGAAACCGTATGCTGAATATGACTTAAGGAAGGGAAACTCTTACAGCTCGCTTCGTCAAGTTATTCAGCTCTGTGGATATATCATATTTGATAAGGCAAAAAAAAAACAGTTTCTCATCCCTGCCTTCTTCATTTTCCCGGCCCGCCTCCTTTTGAAAAAGTTTTGTTACATTTGTAATACATTGTATACATGTATTTTACATGTGTATTGTCAATATACAGTGCACCGAAATCTTGATAAGTCAAACCTCAAGGGAACAGGTTCAAAATCTGACTTAAGCAGAGTTTTGAGTTATGCAGGGTTGTATATATCATTGTTATACTACTGAAGGCCATGAATTCTTTGTTTGACTAAACAGTTGTTTTGAGTTATCAGAATTGGACTTATCAAGATTTCATTGTCTTTTTATTTGTTTCCACAAAATTGTGGCTACATATGTGTGTGTAATGGACATTGGCTTCTTTAGACACAATTTTGTATCAGTAAAATAGTCGAGAGAACTGAAGAATCCATCCGCCGTGCTGGAAAATCCACCATCTTGGGAAGAAAAACAAGCGCCCGCCTACTTCATTTTTTTTCAAAAACACCGGACTACTTATTATTATTTTTTTTTTTTTACTCGGCCTAATGTACAACATACAGCTTTGGAAATAATTAAATCTGTTGGTTTATTTCTGTGATTGATTATGTTCCACCTGCTAATGGCTATCAGACTTGGCATGAATTTGTTTGTTTGTTTGTTTGTTTGTTTTTTGATCAGGTTTTTTTTGTGTAAATGTGGTGAATATTGTCCTTATTTCAAGTCATGTCTAGCCTACATGTACTTAACAAACATAAAGTATCAGGTACAATCTTAATGTACCGGTACTCTAATTTGTAGTAAATTCTGTCCCATTTTGGGCTCCAGACATATTCATATGATTGGAACTGTAAAAAAAATAAGTGTTTTACAGTGTCAATTTTGCACCTGTTTTGCAGCTGAAAACTGAGGACAGTTGCTGAAACAAGGGGTTTTGATAGCATAACATGTACCACTATGAATGTTGCTTTGTTTTGAGGATCAGCTTCACACATGTATGCATTTTTTTTTCATCATTTCTCAAATGTATTTTAAAGCATAGTTCCAAGAACTTCCTTGCTAATTAAAACACAAGATCTGTGCCCAAATTACTTGGCACTTAAACCTCTTGCTTCAGTCATATGTCCTCAATTTTTACACCTTTTTTATACTTGTAAAATAGTGTAACACAGTTTACAATCTGTACCCACTGTACATGTGTTCCATCATGTATGTCATTCGGCGCATGATTCTGAATTGGTTGTTTGCCAACCTACTTCAAATCTAGGAATAACAGATTATAGTTTTTACAAAAAATATGGACAAGGAAAAAGGGTATCTTTTTTGCCTGGTGAAATATATTTTGAATAACCAGAAGAGTGTATTTAAATCCATTTAAAATGATTAAAATACGTAGACTTATGTAAGTGTTTATTAAATACATATATCAATCAAGTAAGCTGTAAAAAAATGAAACATATTCATGACTGTGCTAATTTTCAATCGATGAAGATGGTGGTTACACCTATGTAATTTTTATTTACGGTGAATAAATATTTTTTAAACTGGATGTAGTGAAGCAAAAGTGTGGTTTGTTCAGTTCGCCAATAACTTTCCATTCGTTACCCCGATTGACACCAACATTCTACCCTCAAAATCCAAATCCTTCCAAAACAACTTTAATTTGCAGCCTCAAGCAGTCTTTTGTCTTCAGATTAACCCATGCTTTATTAATTATAATAAGTACTTTTGAAGAAAATGTGACTTTTCTTTACCTTTTTTGGCACTCAGACGTGTCACTGTGCGTGTCGGAGAAGTTCTCACCTTTATTTGAGACCGGTCGGAGCTGCTGTTCCATGTTGTGGAATTACTCCGCAAGTGCATGGAAGTCCCTCTGTTGAGAAGACACACTCAGACGTAGACACACAAACATTTTAGACAGCCTGATTTTTATTCCGATGAAACTTGCGCCTTTTTTATTTACCTTACCGCTATGTAAAGTAAAGAAATCAGAAGCAGTGTTCTAAAAAATGTAAAAATCTAATCATCCAATGAGAAATCGCCTTTCATTTATGACAAAGTATCGTGCGCTTTGGCTATTCTATCTAACAACCCTATTCCCCCTGTTATTCTCAACCAATCAAACGCCATGTTATTTGTCACTAAAAAAAAAGTAGCCAATCAGATAATAGACTTAAATTGAAATGATCACAACGATTAATTGAATTGGAGGGGAAAAAACAGTCGGTGAAAAAGGGCATCAGTGGATTCGAACCATGGATGTTTGGATACTCATCTCAGTATCCATATAGGCGAGCTACTGGTCAGCTTGACAATATCTGCTTGTAACTAGTCGACTAAATAATAACAATTATTGTATTGACGTCATAGTTCTTTGCTCACGAATAAACACAATTTTCCAATCAAAAACTGACTTATTCATGATTGCTTCACCCGCCTACGGACAAAAACATAAACGCCGGCGGCAATTTGGAACTCGCCGCGGTATGTTATAATGTCGTCTGTGTCTCACGTATACGAAAGAAAATGGATGCTCAATGGAGGATGTCTGACACCAGTGTGGTAAAATCATGGGTCGAGACCATGACATTGTAAACCCAATTTTCTTTTCGTAAATTTGTCCCATTGACGATTGGGGCCCTTTTTATCATACAATACAAATAATAAATGGTGTGTACAGCCGCGTTTCCGCATTAAATGTCATCCATGCACTTTTTACCGTTAAATTTATAAACATACAATCGCCGTCGGGCCTCTACGTTCGACTTTGAATTTTTATTTTAGTGGGTAAAAATAAACAAATAAACAAACAAACAAACAAACAAACGCCGTGGGAACTACATATTATTAACAATTGTTGATTGATTTGAAGTATTACTAAAAGTCGCATGGTAATCTTAATTCACTGTCAGCCACAATGCAGACAAGAAGGTCTTTCCCCGAACTGCGTTACAATGATCAACTCCAATAATGAATCAGGGACGTCTTCGACATCGCTTTCATGGGAAACGATGGAAATTACTCAAAGTCAAAAATTCCCCTGAAAATTGTGAAACAATTTTCAGATGATTAGCAATTAGGATGTTCGGCAGAACCATAAGGCCACAAAGGCCAAACCGAATAGTTGGAAAGAAAACAAATGTGCGGTGGATGTTTAGCATTTCCTGTGGTTTCATATCCTGGTTGCTCAATCCATCTGCATGTAGTGTATGAACTTGAACCGCCTTGGAGCGGCATATGAGGCGACAGAAATAAACCAGTGGAAATGCTACTTCCTTTTTGGCTGGCTAATTTTGACCCAAGTGGTTTCCGACTTTCGAAAACAAGCATCAGATGACAAAGGAAGTAAAACAAAAAATCGTTAATGAAATAGATTAAAGATAATAATTTGGCTCCGAAAACAATCCTGTTTTTTGGGGGGGGGGGGGATTTGGTTAACTCGTAATTTTCATCGGGTCACATAATGAATTTATATATTGAAGGGCCCGGTCGATGCAATGTGAACATACTTTGACAAAATAGTACTCATTTCAGTATGAAATCAACAAGAGATTGTTTTCGGGGGGGGGGGACTTTTAAGTACACTTTTTTCACTGCAAACCCCATGCTATTTCCTGACAACTGAGGGCGCGGTTGCTGTGAGGTCATGGTACACCATCTACAACAAGCGACTCTATCTATTATCCAAAATAGACTCTATCTACCCAGAAGTGCAGTTCATTGAAATCAGCTGCAGAAGTAGAGAGCACCCAAAAATGATGCCGGAGCTACAGTACGACACTGATGAAGGTCTGTCTGCCTTAAAATGACATCACATTGCCCATGAATATGGTAAATGTACTATTAGCATAATAAACCGAACATGCACAATGAAACACTCTTAGAAATGACGTTAAAAAAAAAAAAAAAACTGTCCATGTTTTTTTTTACGAATTCGACTTTTTGCTTTCCTGAAGATGTTCTAAACATGTATCTGTTACTTAAACTAAAGAAAACTCTTTTCTTGTTCGTTAAAAAGGTTCTACATTGTATCATGTTTTGCTTTCACGTACGAGCAGATCCGCCTATAGACTGGTTCTTGGTCCCTACATTCGAATCTGAAATCGAGGCGGGAACCTGTCCTTCCTGTGATAACTGAATTATTGTCGGCCCACAAATAATTCAAAGTTTGTAAATTACATGTGATGATTCCATGAACGCAGGCCGAGTTTTTCTTCGAAATCTCGTCTAACCATTGTAGGCCTATATTTCTAAAATAGCAATTTAAAAGCAATTTAAAAGCTTAATCTGACTTTTGGGGTGAAACTCAAAAACAACATAAATACGGACAGTTCATCAGTTAAGAAGGAAACCGAAGTGCTATTAGACATTAGCTGAGAGGTATACTTCAAGAATTCCATTACATACCCTTTCAAAGAGTAAAATATCGCCGTTGCACAACATCATCGGGCGTCACTTTGATGTGTTTGTGGTTTGTGCACAGTGGAGTGTTTGTTTTTGGTTTGAATTTGAATATTTTTTCCGAAACCTGAACGATAAAAAAAATGCTATAAGAAATTTCCTTTATACCAAGCAGTTAGAATCAGGGCCAAAAGGCGTTGTGTTCTTGCATAACTTATTTTCTTTAAAAGGTTGACGCTGAATTTTAGAAGACACATGCAATACGAAATAAACTCTCTTCAAAAATTCACTACATCAGATGGAACAAGTCGATTTAGAAAGATATTTAATTCAATCGTACAGATCAGGTTGTCCCGTTTCCTCTGGAGTAATTCTGTTTAAATTTGAATCTAAAATTAGAGCGATTTTACACTAAATCGTTGTCCTGGTCCTATGGAAGTACGAGAGGCACCCTTCAGACATCCGTAGACCCTATTCTAGAAATGTATAGGAAAACTCTCCGACGAATTGGTTATAGTTATTAACCATCTCCCCCCCCCCCCCCAAGAAAAAAAAAGATGATGATGATGACGACGACGAAGAAGAAGAGGAAGAGAAGAAGAGTCTACCACAACACGACGGACTTTCGGTGAACTTTTAGGGTAAGGTAGAGTTAGCGAGATTTTGTAATTGACGACCATTGGATCTCGCGCGGGAATGTTCTTGCATTGAGAGGTTTGTGCTGTTATTGGAACTTTTGCTGCTACTTAAACTTCAATGCTTAATGAGAGGGAAAGGAAACGAAAAAAAAAATGTCGTATTGAGACGACTAGTTGGTGCTTTAAAACAGGAAGTCGTAACCGAATCAGCATTAGAAAGGTAACCACTTCAGGGCGAGAAACCGCAAAAAAGTGGCAACATTTGACACGGTGTTTAAATAAATAAATCCTTGGGAAAACCTGGCACTGGAATTACTTTCTTCGCAAGGATAAGATTACTCAGACTGCCCACGCCAGCCGGGATGCAGGGACATAGTATATCTGAGAGTCTTAAATCGTCATAACATCGATGTACGTCATTTTGTTTTGTCGCGCACTTTAGACCATCTAAACCCACGCACATTCCGCTTTGCGTATAAGGCGAAACTTAACTATAGGGGCCTACAATTTTTTTTCAAGTAGAGGGCGAGAAGAGATGACTTTAGTTCTGTAACTATGGAAACAACAGCTGGGGGAGGTGAGGGGGTCAGTGACATTGGAAAATGAAGACATAACAGCCTAAGCAAGACTTCTAACAACTTGGGGATTGCTTGTATATTGTTGCAACCCATGTGGCGGGAAGCGGGGAAGGGTGGGGTGCCACGGGGATACGCCCCCGCTGCATGGAGGCATGCCTCCCCATCCGCGCTCATAATTATGGACAGTAGGCCTACAAAATGCTTGTTAGTAGCCTATATTTTAAAGCCCTCTCTAGAAAACAAATTTCCCTGTGACGCTTACAATTGGGCCGTGGTTACGTCACTAAGAATAAGACTAATTAAAAAACCACAGAATATGAGCATGCCTCCACAAAACCGCATTTACAAAATCTGAACTGGTATACGTATACCTCAATTAAACCCTATAGCTTTTTCCGCGCGTTCCCAACGAATGGGCCTTAGAACCTATAGAATTCATGTTTACAACCACCTTGTTCGCGGGGGGGATGTTCTCCATATTAGTTTATAGTAGGAGAAAAATGTTTCATTTGATCTTTTTTTTTCGAAAATTAGACCTTGCGTTGCTAATTTTATAAATGGAATCAGTCCCCAAATAAAACCAAGCTTCGTTGGAATCTTAACAGATGATATCTGCTTCATGAAAACAAAGACATTTTTATGCCGTGGTGGTGTTACGCATAGGCCTAACCTGTCTTGCGGGTGCATTTTTCGCAACCCGTTAGCAACAAAGATGGTCATGTCGTTACAAAAAAACCTACTGACACTGCAACGGATCTGTTGCGGATCGAGTACTACTCTGGGACAACACAAACATTTCCCCTCGCACCCCTGAACATTCATCTCCTCTAAAAGAAACTTGAGTAAAGGGTGAGGTACACCCACGAACTCATACGGAAATAAAGGAAATCAGTCGTACAAAATCACCGACAACTATCAAAATCAGATATAGGCCTAAAATGACCACACTACAAACTAGGTAATAAAACTCCCCTATCGAAAGGCAACGTCTTAGCATAAACCTGGATAATTGTTCACACCAAAACATTGGGGAATATCCCCTGCTATTTCGTCATTAGGGATAGATTGCATAGAACTTTGAAAACATCACGGAGATCAGGTCCCGTGTTTGCTCCGAGGTATACAAGATAATAACAAGGCCTACATTATACCTCTCGAGTAATGACCAGCCAACCCGTCGGTTATGATAATCGGCAGGCTAGTACATGTACCATAACAACAACGGACTTGAACAATCATGGACGAATAGGGGACTTTTTGGAAAAGGCGGATCGATCTAATAAGTGTTTCCGCACCAGTAAACTATATTGTTGCTTGGGACGTTTCAATGGTCTTTTATAGTTGAACGCCCGAGGGCGCTGTTCGAATTGCACGCGCTGTTGAAGTGAACTTGGAGCTCGGAGTTACATGATCACCGCAAACGGCAACCGTCACTCAATTTTATCCTTGGTCAAGGCGTTCCTCATTATTCGTCCGTACGCGGTAAACGATCGGCCGCGGCAATATCCTCGCTATGCAGTGCATTAAAAATACAGTGCGAACAGTGACCTCATGCGGCCACTATTTTATGCAAATCATTTAGACCATGGAGCTAAACCAAGACTCGCTGATTTTAATGGAGATCAACGGAGAGACCCATCATTTTATCTCGGACAGGGGAAAAGGGCGTCCAGAGAGGGCCGTAAGCAGGCGCGGTTCTAGAGCCAATATTGGTTGGGTTTTTTTTTTTGGGGGGGGGGGGCTAGCAAGGTGGATCCAGATTTTTTTTCAGGGGAGGCGTGCTGAAATGTAGACAGGTCATTTTCTCCGGACACTTAGGCCTCTGAAAATCAATAGGGGGGGGGGGGGGGACTCGTGCCATATTTTCAATGGGGAGCGCTGATAAACGTCCTACAATCAGGCACACTCTATTAACTGAAAGTGAACAAATGCACCCTTCTCATTCAGGGGAGACCGTTCCCATGTACGTCTAATTCCTACATTTTGCTAGTGCATTGTTTTTTTTTATGGAATTTTTTGGGGGGGGGCTAGACAAAAAGCCCCCCCCCCCCTAGAACCACCACTGGCCGTAAGCACAACCTATAGACGGGAAGCGAGGCGCCCATGATCCATCTTTGAAAAGAAAACTATCCTTTTCTCCTGCATGGTCCCCTCAAAGACGGAACCAGGGGAGGGGGGGGGGCAACGGAGGCCATGCCCCCCCCCCCAAAAAAAAAAAAACATGAACCCTCTTTTTTAAGTGACGTCGCAAGGCACCGGTATATACACCACCATCTTTTCCTTTAAAAAAAAGGTTAAAGTGGTCAGAAATTGCCCCAGATCGCACCAGAGAGCATCTAAAATGAAAAAAAAACTCGTCGTAATTTTTTAGACTCATTTTTGGGGGGACCAAACAATTTTTGGGCCTCCCAAAAAAAAACTAATTGTGTTCTGGATCCGCCCTTGGGTCCCATCCTGGATCCACCCACTATTGTATGACGCTTCCGTATACCAGATGTAAAATGGTAATTCCGTCCCTCCTAGGTCCCCCCCCCCCGGACTGCGACCCGGTAACTGTCCGGGGGACAGATCTACCTAGGTAATCTGTATCCCTCTAGGTTATTCTGTCCCCTGCTCAACGGAAAAGGTGTGCCCCCACCCACCCCGGTAAATGTGTCCCCATTTGCAACGAGTATAGTCTAGCACTGAGACTGTGCACATTTTGCTACCGTGCTTTCGCTCGCAGCACAGGCTACCCATAATAGACCAACAAATTGCATGAATGTTCGTGACGTGCAAAGCTCAACGATTGTATGAGCTGGGCACGGTCTTGATTTGTTTTCTTTTCTGGATAATATAGGTTTCGTTGCAGGAAAGTGAGGGATTTTGAGCTTTACCAGTAATGTTATTTATGTAGCCCCAATCCAAGTTTAGTAGGGGTGGTTTTCAACCTGGTGCAAATCATGCAGTTATGTCTTGATACTGCTACACCGCTTGGAGATGTGGAGCAAGGAGCACTTGGCAGGATTAAATCTCATCTGCCAGTCGAGGGACCATTAAGTGTTGAGGTCCTCTTGCAACGGGCTGCAGCATCATTTTCGGACTGTATTTGTCGATGAATGACCGTCCGCAAATAATCTGGTGGAAGATAAGATGTTGGCAACAATGTCATTGACGAACAAAAGGAGGAATGGTCCAAAAACCATGCCTTGAGGGGACCCGGAAATAGCAGCATCAGACGATCTCTCACCATCCACAGCTACACAGCTTGAGTACGATTGGTCAGCCATGTTTCCAAACTATTTAAGTCTCCCGTGAGTCACCACAACAAATGCTTTGGAGAAGTCTAGGATAAGGCAGCCAATCTGTTGTTTCTGATCAATGGCGCCATTAAGATCGTCCAAGGTCGCTAGAAGTTGGGCTTCACAACTCTTATGACGTTGCGGAATCCATGTTGGAAGTCATTTAATGTGATGGTGATCAAGATGAGCTCTGATGTTACTACAGATGACACGCTATAGCACTTTATTACATGCAGTACTGGTCCTTTTATGGGTGTTGAGTAGTATCCTACCAGAACCAGAAGGAGACAAGTCTGTAGTTTGATGGCTGGCTTATTCTTGAAAACTGCTGTCACGTAATTGGCCTGTCCAATCGTCTGGTATGTCACTATAGCTGTACCAATTGACTGCTGGTATACAACTATAAAAGCATGGTCTTTCAATACCTTATATAGTTGGTATTTGATCTGCACCGGTAGCTTTCCTAGGACCGAGGAAAGCAGCTTCTCAATGTTGTACTACGTTGCAATATCAGGCATGACTGCATGGAAAGGGACCTTTCATGGCATGGAGGCAACATTTTAAACTGTTTGGGCATACCCTGGGTAAAGAAATGGAATAAATAAACATCTTCTTTGTGAAAACTGATCTGTCGTTTTGGACAGCACTTCGGCCTTGTCTTCAGGCGAGCTAGGTCGCACCCGGTTTCCTAAGACAAGGAAGAAATACCCATCATCGATTTAACATACTTCCACATTTACTCTCCTCGTTCTCAAACATGATATTGGTGTAATAGGTCTGCGACTGTGCACAAGCATTTCTGCTTGATGTGCGTCTGGAGCGCTCTACATCTAATAAAGATATTTGTTCTCATTTTAATGACGGGCAGAAAAGTAAAAAAAATTAATGTATATACTCTGTGGAGTGAATTTGCCATAATATGAAACGGGCCTTATGCGTGGCAAAACTAGGGGGACTAAATAACCTAGGAGCAAGAACATCCTGGAGGTGGAAAGAAATAACGGGCCGGGGAACACTTTTAGGCCTACCTAGTAATTCTGTCCCCGGACAGTTTTCAGGGGGACAGAAACAGGCGGTTCGGCTGCAGAGATTCCACTGCATGGGTCTATGAGCCCTCTGCAATGTGTGGCAGTTGTAGGTGTAGCGTGAATTTAGGTGGTTTTTTTTTATGAAATACGGATCATTGTTGGTATTGCGTGTGCTCATGCATAGATAATTAGGAGAGGGCCCGGTCACGTGAGGGGGGTTAACCATACTGAAGAAAAAAGGGGTCCGATTTTCGCAGGAGTCCGATTTTCATATCACGTAGTCTGCTTCAGCCTTCAGGCATATTAAATCGTACGAGTCCAAAAGTTGGAGTGTTTCATTTACATGAAGATATTAAAATCATCTCAAAGACTGAGGCCAAAATGCCACAGGTGCAGACGAAGCAACGGTAATTACGTACGACTCCCCCGACTCATTTTTAGAAGGTGTCAATAGCATGCGCCCTCTTCCATCACCTTTTTGCACATTCCTAATCGTACGTACATGTACGTTGCGTACGGTGGGGGAGCCGGGGCGGGGGTCCATTGCGATAAATAATTCCTGTTTGTCATGTGTCCAAAACATGGGAAAACTTGCTGGTAAGTTTTTTACCACTGACATTTGAAGAATAATATAAAGCAGATGGAAATCTGATCCGTACTGTATAGCCAGCGTCCGTCATCTTGGGCCAAACGGTACGAGTGGTGGCTGATATGATCATGTCGTTGCACTTTCCGACAACTTAATTCGGCAATTAAATTTAGAATTGCTGCAATAGGGCGACAGATTTTTCGATTAGGGCGACACACCTACTGGGGCGACAATTTGGTGTCGCCCTATTGCTGAAACGACCATGAGGATAAGGAATTTTAATGTCGCGACCCATCCAGATCAATTCCTCGTCGTTCAACCAGCCTAGCTACGGCGACGCGCGCGCATACCAGAAACCGGAGACTTTTTTTTTTGCCTTAGTAAGAATTAGGCCAAAAAAAAAAAACATTCGGTCTCTGGTCAGACCAAAGTTCCGGAATTGACGCGGCCACGCGGCTTTTTTTTTTTTTGCTTTTTTTTTTCCTTCAAGCTTGGATTGTACAGACAAGGTGGGGTACTATTTTGCTTTTTTGGTGTCCTCATGTACAGTGGTGTCCTCCATAATTTGCCTTGGTGCTTTCGATCATTTGCCTTGGTGCAATTTCCCATTCCTTGGTGCTCTTTGGTGAAAAAAAATTGAGGAGGTGCGGAAATAGAGGGCGCTGTTGGAGCTACGCGCATGGTTAAAATCGACGCGCACGCTGACCAGAGACCGACTTATTCATTTTTTTGGCCTTATAGGGAGACACGTAAAGTCTCCCTAATGACCCATTCCCGGTTATTATTATTATTATTATCATTATTATTATCATTATCTGTTGAAAGTCGCATTGCTTCCGAATAACAGTTTACGAATTCTTTACGAATAAACAAAATTCCTCTCAGTGCCCACTTCCGTAATATAAAAAAACCTGCTGTTGCGCGCCCAAAAACCGGTACCGTGTATACTGCCCTCTATTGTTTAGTCTTTTCGGTCGGCCATTTTTATTGAAAGGAAAAGGGCTCGACAAGAGTTGGTATGAATCCGTTTAAATCTTCAGCATCTAAACTCCTTGAAACATAGTACATGTATTTTATTTAATTTGAGGTATATGTAGGAGTTTCCTTGGGAACAACTGAAATATTAATTGAGTTTTTGGTGTGAAAATTGTATGGTGAAATTATCACTCTTGCGAAGCTACTACATACGTGTACATTGTACATGTGTACATGAATGTGTACATGTATGTATACATGATTCCATTCCGGTTTTCGCACAGCATAAACCAATACTAATACTATACTATAACATACGATGTACTGCACTGACGTGAAGCTGAAACACGTCTCTCCTGTCTAGTATTGGAGTAATTGCAGAATACCCCGCCACTCAGAAATACCCCCCTACTCCCGGCTCCCCCTAGGCCTAGCATGCCTGCCTAGTAAAATATCTGGCTACGCGGTTGGATTCGCTGGAAAAGCATGAAAAGAGACAATTCAAGTTCAAACCAATTGTTGCCAGCTACGCAGATAGTGAGATACTGAGCGAAGCAACACAAAGGGAATGGGAGTCATGGGAGTTGCTGACAAAAATCTAAGTCCAAACTGACTATCAGCTATCCTGTTGCCGGCTACGCGGATACGGAGTGGGGAGTGCAGTGGAGAATGACGCATAGCCATAGTACGTACATGTCATACATGTACTATGTAGGCTAGCGTTGAGAAGGTTTATTGAGGGCAATCAACTGTGACTCCGTAGCCTGCTACGAGGTGCATAAATGGAGTGGCGGGTACTCTGCAATTGTGCCCTAGTATAAAACTAGGCTATTGCTGACAACCTTGGTATTACAATAATTATTTCCCTCCAATGCAATTGCAATTTATTATTATTGCCAAGTTAAACATGTACCGGTAAGGCTTGTTTTTTTTTTCAGGAAAAATGAGGAGAAATGATTATGTTCACTGTTACCGATGCACAGAATCGACGGTTGAATTTTAAGACGTAGCATCGAGCACGTTTACTAGTCTGGTGCCCTCTATGTATTAACCCTAACCGCCCTGAATCCTTCAAAATCCTCTTTGCCAAAGTGGAGGAACTTGGAGGATTGAAGTAACATGGCAAAATTATGCCACCTATTTTGTAGGATGCAATTTGTCAAGGTCTTGGGCCGGACCTTGTATTGTTTTTGCTCAGCCATGCATAACTGTAGGCCCGGATTATGCTTGAAATTTTCCGCACTGCTCCAAGATGTCACTGGCCAAGCCTCAACATATTGGCAGTCACTGCCACAGGATTTTGCAGGATTCAGGCACTTGTCACCCCTCCATGGACCATATTAAAAAAATAATGTCCAGAGGAATTTGCAGGATTGAGGCTATGCTATTTTTTCATGAGGCCAATTGGAGGATTTTGCAGGATTGAGGCTACATGTATCTTAGCAAAGAGGCCTAGGGAGTTAAAGTTAATAAGAGACGTTCAGCTACTGTTGTAGTTAGGGGAAAAAGACAGGCATCTTTGTACCAGATGGCTGTTTATAGTATTTTAGAGATATTCAAAATACTTTAAACAGCCGTCTGGTACAAATATGTCAGTCTTGTTCCATGAACATACACTCGTCATACGGCACCAGACTTGTAAACATGCTGGGATGCTCTCATCATGCCCAAACGTAGATTCTATGAGAGTCCGAATAAATGGTCCTATTTTCTCCTCATTTTTCATGCAAAGGCAGCATTCTTTAGCAGCCGACTAAACGGTTAAAGAATGCATACTGGTAAGACAACTGTAGGAGGGAGTTACAACATGTGAAAGGGCTCAGGAAAAAATCCATTTTGGCAACTACTTAGGAAGATTTGTGAGACTGAATGTTGTGGCCTTCTTAACGGAGGGATTCCAGTAAAGTGGCCACAGAGCAGGAATACAGAAAAATCAGCTCATGCCCATCAGACATTCCCCAATTAGAGCTTGTTCTGACTTAACTCGTCTAATCTCATACCCTTGGTCACATTTCTTACAGGAATCTCTTGTGTCAGTTGCACATCATGGCCAAGTCCAAGAATCACACCAGTCATAACAACAGTGAGTTTTTATTTTATTTGTTGTTTTGTTTTGGATTAGTACACTTAATCCTTTTGTAGTGTTTCAATGTGAGTGAATTTGACAGATATTTATATTTTCATGATCCCGAAGAGCAGCATATTACTGAAAACAAAAAAATTTTCTACAGTAAACTCCGGCTAAACCGGTGTCACATGAAAATCCGACTCCTATGAAAATCGGACCCCTATTTCCCTATTATTGGTTGATCCCTCGCATGTGACAGGTCACTCTCCCGAAACGATCCTAAAAATAGCACAGTATCGTACTCACGCGTGCGCAGTACTACCAATGAGTCCACATTTCATGGAGTCGGATATTCACGCTACACCGGCACTAACAGGACCCGAGAATTTGTGACGACTTACGCGAATGCCGATATATGCTATAAGTCATCATTTTGCCGACTTACATGAATGGTCTTTTGCGCACATGATTCATTGCACTAATTGGCTTCGATTTACCCTGGATTATCTCCTTAATGCTTGAGTTGAATTCAGCAAATTAATCCTCGAATTGTATCATCACGTTTGGGGTATTGATAGTGGAGACCACGATACATATGTACGTGCACAGTAACGAATTAAATGCGTGCGTGATCCGGTATATACCACGCACGCATTGACTGCAGCAGTAGTTATTCAATAAAACGAACCCCAAAATTGACAGCACATGCGTACAGCCTACAGGGGGTACTGGTATTGATATGCTTGCGATGCATATATGCGATGCATGCAGCAAAGATCCTATAGCGCTACGTAGTGGTATGCAGTAGGACACCCTTTTTCGACACCGATGCATGCAGCGATCACAGGCCGTGCGAAACCACTTTTCACTCGACACTAACTTTGCGCGCAGTACAGGAAGTCGATGCCAATGTGTGATTTGGTGAATGCCGACTTACACAAAGGATTTTGTAATGCTTTTTATGGAAAGGGGACCGAGAGTAACACAACGACTTGAGCGAAATGGCTACTTATAAAAGCCGACTTAGAAATAAACAATTCAATGGAAAAATGCATTACGGACAATCAGGACTTTAGTCAGACGGCCGACTTGAGTGATTTGACGAGTTGTACGATGTCGGTTTAGCTGGAGTTTACTGTACTTCATGATACTTGGTCACAGTTCATTTCCAGTAGACTTGCAATGTATGGAGGAAGCTTATGGTGGAAATCTAAGTACATGCATGTACATGGTAATTCTCTCCATAACTTTTTTTCAGGCCGCAAGAACCACCGCAATGGTTTCAAGAGACCCAAGAAGACGAAGGTTCCTTCTCTTAAAGGGGTGAGTGTTATCCATATTCTTGAAAGGTACAGATTAATGTTGGCACAATACAAAAAGATGTTTTAAAATATGCAGCCTGTTCCCGACAGGCTGACCTGTGTGAAGTTACGACGTCGTGCGCGTCCCGATCATCTTATTTCATTTTGTAGCCAGTGTGTGGCAAATGCATAGTTTTACAACAATCACGGCAGCCGAATGAACAGACGTGGCTGTGGAAGATCATTTGATTGTTATCAACACATCACCGCCATTTTGAAGAAGTCACAAGATCACGTCTAAGCCTCAAACTCGTTGTCGTATGTGACATAAACATGGTTGCGATTATTTTGTGTCGAGATGCCGCTTGCTTCACAATAATCACACAAGTACTCAGTTTTGTGACTCGAGCATGACTTTTGTGCTTGATGCCAATACATGTAGTTCTGTCGCGGCGCAAGCGAATCGCAGGCCTACCTGAGGGCGGCTTTAGATGTCAAAAGGGCTCACATGTACATGCAACTATTGTGTGGGACTTTGTTCTATGGTTTCTGGACAGTGTGATCTGTTTCGAATATTCACTAAACTGGATTTCAATATGCAATTTTTTTTTATGATGTACTTTAACCCTAACTCCCTAGCATGATTTACTACGAACCATAACCATCCTGGCAAATTCCAACACCATATGGAAAACTGCACGCACATATTTCTGACTTTGTTTCTGGAGGTGTGCCAACCCGATGTAAAAGACTGTCAGTTTAGGGGTACTGTACCCATCCTGACAGATTCCAACAAAACATGCCGTTGGGGTTTGATGGGTTGAGTTCTGTTTTAATAAGCCCATGAATACTCAGTGCTGCCAGAGGGCTTAGGAAAAATTCACATTGCTAGAGTCAGGCTCGAACCCTGGACCTCCTGTTATTAACTTGACCATTGACCTTGCCAAAGTTGGCTGGATTTTGTACTCGTGCCTTAGCAGAACCATTTCCCTGCGTCGAGTTGTAACACACTGTATAAAACAAAAGAGAACCATGCAATAAATTTGGATTAAGGTTAACAAGAAAATCAGCATTGGATAAACGCCAACAGGCATGCTGCTTTTCCTGGAATCAGCTGAAATTTAATAGTTCTCTTGAAAATTGGAAACCACAGCAGGGAGTTTTGTAAACCTCAGAATTTCCACTTTGAGAGGGATGACTCCCCAGTTGCATGCCTGTGTCATGTGAGAACCTAATCACTTGGTCACTGTACTTCACTGTAACATCACATAACTTTGGATTGTTTTCAGTTATTAGGGAGGTTTCGCAAGCGAACGGATACGCTTACACTTACGTTTAGCTATCCGTATCTGTTTTTTACTTACGTGTAGCGAGCGAGATATGCGTGTCGTCTGCACGTTTAGCGGATAGTGAGTGGCGTATGACGTCATACGTGCAGACGACCCGCATATCTCGCTCGCTACACGTAAGTAAAAAACGGTTACGGATAGCTAAACGTATTTGTAAGCGTATCCGTTCGCTTGCGAAACCTCCCTATTAACTCTTTCCAGTTTGCATCGTTAGAAAAGGGCTGTGTATAGTTTGCTTTTAATTATCGTTTCTCTCTCTCTCTCTTTCTTTGAAGGTTGATGCAAAGTTCCTGAAGAACATGCGGTTTGCCAAGAAGCACAACAAAAGGCACCCCAAGCCCAAGGCTGAAGCATAAACTGGATGTCAAGCGGCTTATATACATGTATATTTAAAACAAAAAAATGTCTGGAAGTGACTTGTTTTGGAAACTCGGCGACCTTACAAGCATTTTGGTGTTGGAAAATAAGCCCCACAGTAAAGATATGAGTTCATCAGAGCTTTGCCCAATTCAACCTACTCGGGGGACGTGTTGTGGTTTCTTCACCATAAGTTAAAGGGATGGATCGCAGGAGATTGCAAAGGGAAGCACCTACACATTTCCATCCTTGATCTTTAATTTTCTCCCTTTATCCAATGAATGAAAGACCTGCATCTTTTTTGGAGATGTGTTGAATAAAATGGAGGGTCACACCTAACCCAGGAGAAAAAAACCAGCCTAGCTTTGCTTTGTTTTTGTTTAGTTTGCTTGTGTGTTGCTCTCTTCAATTTTAGAAGTTTCTTAAAATGTGAAGATCAGATGAACCAAAAGAAAGTAGGGAGTTCTGTCCCCCCCCCCCTTTCCTTGGTTTTGCTGTCTATATGGCATTCTATAAATTTCCCTGCCATTTTGAAAGTATCCTTTGGCTCGACCACGTAGCAGTGTTCTTCGCTCTTCAGCTTCTCAGATGGAAGTAAAGATTGTTAGCCCCCCTTATAAAATTATGATATCCTGTAAATCCATATCTGGTACACTGTAAATGTTGGAAAGCTTCATTTGGACCCCCGTGTTGTATTACATGTACATGTATATATCGTAAAGGGGAAAAAAAACTTCCAAAGTATTGGTCGTCATTTGATTAGAGACTAGTGAACAGGAGCATATGGTTGACAAGTTATTTGGATAATTGATTCAGGGAACTTTTCAAATGCAAATTCCATGTATATTTTCATTTGTGTCCCGGCCCCGCATATCACTGAAAAATTCAATTCAGTGGATTTCCCAGAAAAACTATTGCTCAATACATATAATTTTATTACTTTTATGGGCTATATGAGTCGGGCTTCAAAGTTTGAAATGAAAATGTGCGCTATACACATACATGTACGTTATGCATTGTGGGCCAATTTTGTGCGATGTCGCATTCCAAATTTCACCATTGACTAAAAATATTTCAGTGTGCCACTCGCATTAAAATTGAAAAGGGGGTCCGCAAATCTCATTAAACATAAATCATCTCTTGTTAATTGTTGTGGAGATGGTGAAATACATTAATGTATACTTTGGGGGGGGGGCGCTTTGTTTTTCTTCTGATTTTTTTGTCTTTTTTTTTGTTCAATCCCAAATCCCATAGATTCGCAAATGTTTTTTTCTTTCTCACGGCCACTTAAGTTTTGTGACAGAAAAAGTTACATTCTAATGAAAATGTACACAAACATAGACCCCACAGTAAAATCGTGTCTCGAAGTGTGATGTCGTCTTGATAGTTACATAATTACATTAAAAGTGAATTTTTCGAAGCACAATATCTACATATATAACTACTGGTGCGATTATCGAGTTCATACGTGGTATGTACATAGGAACGTGTTATAGATGAAAATTGAAGTGAGGTCATGATGATGCCACCAGGTGTCGAGTAACATTAAAGGTGCATTTTCGAAACCCAATGTCTACCTACAGGTGAGATGATACTTGGAATGTGCATAGACCGGGATGTTATGGATGCAACCATGGAGCTATGTGTTTATAGCTCCATGATGCAACTGAAGATCATCAGGATCAGGTGTCATGTTACACCGGGTTTTTTTTTTAATTGAATTTTTCAGCATATTGTAACAACAGATTTACAGAACATACTAAATTTAATACAGTTATAATATCCGATGACAGTACCACGAAATGAATCTGCACACAGTCTTGAAAAACCCGTGTTCTGTTTCAAAACGGACGTCTTCTAGTGTTTCAAGTGCATGGATGATAACGTGGTTGAAATGGATTCGATGGGGAATAATAAAGGAACCTCCTCCAGGATATTTCGCAATTATGATATCATTTTCCAATGGCATGGATGATACAATTTGGTTGAAATTATAGATGGTGCATGTTAAAGGAATCCAGGATATTTCGCAATAATGCTTTCATTTTTCAATACATGGATGATGAAATTTTGTTAAAATGGAAGGTAGTTGCTAGGAACTGCCTCCACATTTCGCAATTGTTGTGGCGTATATCAGGGGTGTGAGTGACCACTGATAAAAATAGCCGAAAACAGCTGAAAAAGGTGCCGTAAAAAGGCTGATTTTTGGAAATCTCCTATACTTTTGTACACAGCAAGTGGGAAAAAAAACCCTGAAATCCAAAACAATAAAAAACCTGAAATCATCACTGAGATTTCACATCCCTGATATATGCACTTTCAATTTTCGTTAATACTTAAAATTCTGGTTACGGAGAATGGCACTGCATGAGAAAGGCGGGGGAGTCTGTCGCCTTAAATTATGGAGTAGGTAAACTGAGGGAGTCGGCACAAACCAAAACGAAAGAGTCAAAGCGCTTTAATTCGGTAAAGTGGGGCAAGTTCCTTTCGATTTAATACAGTGCACGGTAAGAACGCGCATTATACTGCATTCCCCAACACTCACACACAAATTTAAAAAAAATATGTTTTTTTCCTGCAGATGTCCGTCGTTTGCATTTGGTCGTGGGACGGCTTCAGGTTTGAGTCCTAAAGTTTTAACAGCGCCCCCATTGGACCCAGTGCTCGCGTACCCTTCCCCTCAACCGTGCAGCTTATGTGAAAGGACAAAAAGGTGTCTTCATGACATTACTGCAATTACCGTTTAAAAGCATATCAATAAAAACAAGTGGAATTCTTATTAATCTGGTAGGCCTTAACAATACTAATCGGTCATCGTGCAGCATGTTGCCGAAATATTTCAGTTGCGTCCTGGATGAAACTGGTTTTGTGCAAGCTTTAATCTTCCTTGCCCTATGGCCCAATTAAACAGGTGATCGATCTGAGCAAAAGTATGAAAAACAAAATAAGAAATAGCTGAAGTGAAAATTTCTAATTTCTGTTAAAGGCCTTAACATTGCGAAACCTTTCACTTCCAGTTTCATGTCATCCATTTATTTTGTACCTTTAGTTCAATTAAAACAATTGTCAACAAAAAGTATACCAAATCCACTTTTGAAAAAAAAATAGACATCTCCCCCCCCTTAGAGATTACATAGGGCCTGCTAATTTTATCTAAAGTGCTGATCAATAGAGGTTGCTCTGCTCAGTGTGTAACGGTTTTTGACGGATCAACCGTAACAAATATTGTCAGCTGCTTACTCAACGCATTTAAATTTTCAATGCGGTGCAGCGTGTACGGCGATCGACCACAAACAACTTATTTGCATAATAAATAGAGGGCTTGCCCGGCGCCTATTGTTCGATTGGCTGACGGCGCTTGGGTGAATTTTACACACACGCTACTCAGCTAGCTGGCGTGCTCGTCTTCTACGAAGTTCGAACTTTTGGAGTGAGTTTTCATCTTTTCCAAAGAAGCTATAGACGGTTTTTATTGGATTTTCAAAATCACTTTCGCCATCGAAATCCATTGGTAAGTTTTTTATATTACATGGTAATGGGACCTACACAAAAAAAAACATCTTTTTGAGAGTACGTTTCAAAACAAAATGTGTACAAATACCGGTACTGCGGTAGATTCACCGGTACGGAACGTATACCGTAGGGGAATTCTACCGTAGGTGAGCCTGCACAGTAGTGCAGCGTGCGTTTAGCTAGTTAATTTGCGATTTACCTTTACCAGTTGTGTTATGAATGGTAATCAGTGGATGTCTTTTCTGATGGGAATTTATTGTAAAAGATTAAAAATATATTGTAGGCATAACAATGTTTTAATAATAATAACAAAAAATGTTTTTCATGTATAAATTTACCTGCTCTATAGCTAGTCCGAGTAACTTACTTCCTGTACTTGGACCCAACTTATCGCCTTTTTTAACATTTGGACATGGTCTGGTTTAAGAGATCGCCAGACCGTGTCCAAATTTTAAAAAAGGCGATAAGTTCGGTCCAAGTTACTCGGACCTCGGACTACACTTATAGGCATGATATCGGCCTAGGCCTTGGGCTGTGGTTTATCCATTTTTGTCAGCTGTCTGCAGACAAGACTCAAGACTGCATACAATCGTCAATCGCAACCAATATGAAATTATGGATATGACCTATATGCTATTGGTTAAAACTAAAGTGTGCAGAGAAGGAAAGCTGACTTTTCCTCTTCTATTTCTAATCTAAGTAAATCCACATTCTCCACTATCCAGCGGTACAAACGGTACACATGCCATGGTACAAACAACTACAACTAAAGTACAAGTCCCTTTTCTATAGGTTTTTGGGTTTAGAGTCCATCAAAATATTTCAAAAGTTGTGAAAAACCTGTTTGAACTTGGCACAAATAAAGAGGAGTTTGCTTTGGACTGTTTGAATTTAAACAAATCTTCAATTCAGACAATTGATGCAAATGTTTTGGGGGGCCAAGAAACTTGGGAATTTGTTGTATGCCCCTAACTTGTTCCTCCATGGTTGTTCAAAACAAAGTACGTGTTTCCTTTTGGCAAGACTCTTGTTCAAGTTGTTGAATCTCACATTTGGTTTAATACCTTCTTATAATTAATTACGTATAAGACTCCCATGAGAATGAAAACGCATTGTGATGTTTTGTATACACGTTGAACATGTATGTAAACAGTTGGTGAAGGACAGATTTAATTTGTCTTTTTGATTCATAATGGCTCTGAGGCATTTAAAAAAAAAAAAAGGAACTATAAGTCCAAGAACCATTCGCCTGACTTCTATAAAAATATAAGGGTCCTAATAGTAACTATTATTAATATGCCCTTTAATAACTACATGTATAGCCGGTCGTGCTATTTAGCGACAACATAGCGCCTCCAAAAACTGTGTCAACAAACAGGATCAGCGTCAACAAGCTCAAAATAGCAATTAATTAAAGCTTCACAAAAGCTATCCTCGTAATACAACGTCTATTCAAGAAACTCTCACACCTCGTATTATGTAAGAAATTCGGAATTCTCATTCAAAATCCCACATAAAAAGTAACAACGGAATTTTATGGTGACAAAATTAATATGACTGGGCGCCGCTATCTTTGTATTCTCGTTTGCGCATGCCTGATTGTACCATGTTTCAGAAAAACAAGATGGCTGCCAGAAAAAGCACGATTGATATCGTACTTTTTTGCTAAAAAATCACACAAGTTTTAAATACTATACGATTAAAATAATCATAGGAGCCCACTGAATATTGTGAACGTAATTTTTAAGCTTAAAACTGCTAAAGTTACAACTTGTTGACGCTTTTTGAGACCTAATAGCACGACCCACTGTACAAAGCTATTTAGCAATTCAGTACTTTTCTTTTCTAGGGTGAACACTCACGAGAGGACATGTATACAGGACAACACATTTTACAGAGTGTTGAATAAGGTTCCTTTTTATTTGTAAACTTTTTCTTCAGATTTTCAATTCAGTGTGTGTATTTTTTTGAAAGTGTCGAAGGAATGTTTAATTGTTCTTTCAATAGAGCTAATAAACAGCCAAATAAAAATATTTGTGTACAGTTAAAAATCATTCTTCACAGCCTTGGAAGTTGTACTGTATCTCATGTGTATGGAAACCCATGTACAATGTACATGAACATGTATATATGTACATGTATACGTTGTACAACTAGAAGAACTACCGGTAGTACTGTGTACAAGTTTGTAAAATGTAAGAGGTTTGGTAGACTAAGGTTAAAAAATGTGAAGGATTATTCCCATTCCCTCTGCACTAGGAATATAGATGTAGCTGAACTAAGTGTTGCTTGGGGCAATTCAAGTCACAAATGAGTAAATGTATAGAAATTCCTAGAGGTTTTAGGAAGACCCCCCCCCCCTTTTAAAAAAAAAATCTGAGGTAAAATTTGTGTCAAATGGTGGCACGGTCAGTGCATAAACACACAGCCATGGAATCCCTCGACAAGGGCTGCAGATGGAATAGGGAGATTATGAAAACACCAATATAACTGAATTAAGACAGAATTACCTACTCATGCCCTGCGGGCTCACAAAATGGAACCAGCCGTGGGAATGCATTTAAACTGCCAGGGACGAATAATGCAAGAGGAAGGGAATGAGGTATGCGTACCTCACCATGGAATATCTAATAAAAGGGTTTGAAAGACTGGACAAATATCGCACTCTTGGGACGGAGATTATTCAGAGATAACAGGAGAGAGTTGTAAAGGTGAATAATATTGAGCCAATTATTTTCCAGTATATCAAAAAGTTTGTTTTATTTTCTACGTGGGATTTATCTTCCATTCCATTCCATTTCAACTTTCAACACAGTGCAAAATAGTACTGATTTAAACCAAAAAAAGAATAAGATTTGACTTAAAGGGAATGTACAACATTTGCTTTTGCTGCAGTTTTCAGAAAAAAATGGATTTGGAGGATAAGTATGTTATAGCAAATATTGTTCAACTGACTTGTTTCACGTTTTGGGCTTGTAGATGCTGGAAAAGCATAGAAAACCAATCATGTTCTTGTAGTCTGGCTCCCTGACCCCACTTAAGATGAAACGGAGCAATTTGTAGACTTTGGGGAATTGTAAGGTCAAAGAATCAGTCTAGCAGGCTTGTACCCCTTCACAGGTGTGTAATCAATTGCAAAGAAAATGCGGAATAGCTAAATATGAAAAACTAGGAGCAGTTTTTGAAAAAAGCCAGTTTTTTCCAACGCTGGTCGGCCGACCAGTGTTGGAAAAATACAGTTTTTCTTGAAAATGTCAGCACATCAGGAGCCACAATTTTACAGGATGCTTTAGACTGTCATTCCCTAACAATTCAGTAAGGTATTTCGTGATAATTTGATCATTTCGTTATTTGATGTTTGCAAATGTTGTATCTTCCCTTTAAAAGCTACACGGACTGGTACAAGTAGTCAAGTATACCGGTACCTCAAGTTACATATTGATGGCCACTCTTGAGCCAATTATTTTAACGTATCAAAAAGTCTGGGTTTTTTTTCCATTTGGTTTATCTTGAATTCTAACACAAGGTAAGAAAGTACAGATTTCTCAAAAAACCCCAAAGATTTGGACATATTAACAATTGCTGAAGATATGATACCTGAAGTTAAAATATCGATGGCAGCTCTTAATGAAAACCCTTATAATATATGGTACATGTACATGTAGGTTGTGCTTGCAGTGTGAGATAAACAACTCCATCTGCCCTTGTACAATGATGACAAGTCATTACAGTTTGAATTACATTTTGGCCGGGCAGTGAATGAGACTTTACACTTGTGAAGTGATTGCACGTTATGGGATGCAGCAAAGAACTGTAATGCGATGAGCAATTGATGAGTCACACTTCATACAAATTGAAATTACTGCTAACCTTTTCTACATATCATGTACATTGTACATGTACATGTATACAATGTTCATCATTTTGATCTCTCAACAACTGAACCAGATGTGGAATTTGCATAATGTGTGTAAAATGCAGTTCACAGTATTAAAAAATTTGAAGATGTTGGCCTGCAGAATTTGCAATTGAACGTTTTGTATTTTGACCTTTGAACCTTGGACTAAAAAAGTGTTTTGTGATAAGATTAATATTGGGTTTTTTTATGTCAATGAGGGGAAGAGATGCACGTTTGTGATTGGATCGGAGCCTGCTAAATGCAATATCGTGTACGGTATCAAATATGAGTCATATTGTATTACACGGTTAATCATATCAGTTTGACACATCATTAATATTAGAATACTCAGAAATGGTTTTAGCATTTGCACAGGAATACATGTAGGTCCGTCATTTGTGGGAAAGTTCACAATTCCACGGATAGTTTCATTTCATTTTAAGTAACATTGTACCGGGTAGCTATCAATTCTAGACTACAAATTAATCAGGTTACCATCAGTGCATGCACAGTACATCATGACTAATAACACAGCCCATGTGAAATAACTTAACTTAAACATGTTTTGTGGGTTGTAATGGGAAATGTAATCTTGTTTAGTTAATTTACAAAAAAAACGTGAAATATGCATCTTTGCATTGACAAATGTTTTCTATCATTTGCTCACATCAGTTTAAACTATTGCCAAATTTGTTAAGTAGTTTACCGGTACATGTAATACATTACAGTTTGTCTGCCATGCACAAGTTACAGGTACCAGTTAAACAAAAAAAACCCTTGTTTTGACATAGAATAGGAACCTTCCTCTCAGCTGTAGGCCTACTAAATTTAAAGAATGACAACAACCCTTGAATTTAGGTGGAAAACAAGATGCCAAACTTAAAATCCATAATTTGTTTGGACAAAAAATAATTTGACCATTCCATTTCACTGGCACATCACTCATAATGAAACTTGAAAAGGTCTTTTTTTCCCCTTTAATTTGATACATGTATGGATGTAATGCAGTACATGTACGTAGAACTTGTGAAGATTTCATTTAATTTTCCTCTTTTCAGACATGTCCACTTCTTGTGGAATTGTCCATTTTGTGCAAACTG